GGTTTGCATTAGCTCACCTTGTGTAGATTCTTTAAAATATGAAGTGGGATGAATAAGTTTCATGCAAACAAATTGGGTTCAGGTGTCACCATTGTTTGAGACAGCCTCCGTGGTGTAGTGGTTAGAGCGTCCGCCCGGAGAGCAGAAGGTCGCGGGTTCGATCCCTGACCGCGTCATACCAAAAGACGTTAAAATATCGTACTTGTTGGTCCCTGCCTGGCGTTCAGCATTAATGGGTACAACAAGGACTGGTCGGCTCGGAGTCAGTATACTGTGTCTGAGTGGGGTATTCATGCTTCACTGCGGCATGGTATCTCAGTGAGCTTGCACTATAAAACCAGCTTCAGTCTGGGCTAGTACAAGCAGCCGCACATACACATACACACGTATGCACGTCGTCATATGAGCGAAATATTCTCAAGCACGACGTTAAACCCAATTTCACCTCACCTCACCTCACCATTGTTTGATGTGTTTGTTGTTTACATCACACTATATGAAGATGATCTGTAAATAATCAAGCCTGGACCACACAATCCAGTGATTGACATAAGAAGCATTGATCTACACAATAGAAATACAATGGCATGCAGCCGCCAGGTCAGCGAGCCTGAGCACCTGATCCTGTGGGTTGCTTGAGACCAACTCTAACCCAGATCTCCATGGGGAACAGTGTTTGAATTTATCGTGTGTCCTAGGGGTGGTTGTCCTTGAAGTTTTTCCTATTATATTAGTAGTTAAGTCAACACAAGGGTTATGAATTGTTCGATTTTCATTTAGTAGCAGGTTGAAACGAGATTATACGGAGAGAGAAGATGTAATGGATTGATATTGAAAAAATCAAAGTAAGAAAACGTCAAGCTAAATGTTTTATGTTTTCTTCTCAAGGTTTCCTCACTTCTAGAATGGAGATCTCTTGTAGATTGAGGATTTACTGTGACTGAAATAACTCTAAATATGTTGTACAGACACTTTAAAGTTCAGGCAGGCTTCGACCATGTTTTTGGACAGCAAGTGGATTATTAGATCAACCATTATTTCGTCTCGACAACTTACCTTCATTAATCTGTTGTAACACTAAGTTAATAGAATTGTTTCTCAAAACGCTTTTGCTCAGCATTCTAGGCAAACAAATTTATGTCCAAAACCTGTTCATAACTCATTTTGCCGCCTGTCGAAGACATTTCTTGAAGTCTAGGCTGGTTCTGAGTCACCCTCCAAAGCTGCTCTGGTTAAATCATCATTTAATCCTCATCATGCGGAGTATGGGACATATAAACGGTGTCTACAAACTTGGCACCGCAGTTCCTGGAACTACCAGGAAATAATGGTCCTAGCTGATAACTTAATATGATCACGACAAACATGGTTACCGCGACTTGGCAAGTTGCACCTAATAACATTGCTCACAGCATGGAGCCTGGGCTGCACCAACCAATAACACTTCCTGTATTTAGTTCCAACCTAAAGGACTCTACAATTAGATTACTCTGAATCTATTGAGACGGAGTTGAGAAGCTATGTGAAAAGCCTTATCACTTATCATAGCGATTGCATGAGTAAATTGTGAGCTATCATTCCAGTTGGATTGTGGGATAGGGAATAACTGTATATTGATTACATATTCCATCTACGGTTATAGTTAGGCATAACACTTACGATGTCTGTAGAGACGTATAAGTTTCAGTTGTTCAATAACTCTTGTCCGACGTCCCTCTCAGTGTGGAGACAATGTGGATCATGTGTCTAATGGACTCTCTCGGAATTCATACAATTTACCTTTGTTGTCACAGTAACTAATACTGAAGTCTCCCATATCTGTTGGTTCAGTTTATCATTTGTGTGTCTACCTTGTGATAATAGTCTTCATTTCTTTGCTTAAAACTTCCAAGGTAAATTGTTAGTAGTCTATTTTAATAAAAACCAATATAGTTCACTATTTGGTGTAGAACAGGATTGTTTATCTGTTATTTCATTAAGAGCAGGTGTGTTAGCCAAGTGGTAACAGAGTTAGCTGAGTCTGGCTCAAGGTCTGAGTTTGATACCCACCTTGAGTCAAGTTTAGTTAGATGCTATGATGTGTTGCTGTTCTGTGACCAAATTGTGGGGGCAGTTGGTTAGCCTAGTGGTTAAAGCGTTTGCTCGTTACCCCAAAGATCCGGGTTCGATTCCCCACATGGGTACAATGTGTGAAGCCCATTTCTGGTGTCCCCCACCTTGATGTTGCTGGAATATTGCTAAAAGCGGCATAAAACCAAACTCACTCACTCACCCAAAGAGTTGGAGAACTTCACACTTTTACCAAGTTCATTGTTTCACGATGTAGGTTTTGTATTGACCACATGGTGCAGTGGAGCAGCTAACTAAGGACAAAGGTTTTGTAGCACCGCGGCATCGCTTCCCTCCTCCTTGCCACAGATCACATTACTAACTTGTGATACATTGCTTGTAATGAGGAAAGATGGACACTTTAATTACATGACACAGGGTCCTGCGATATTGACATGGCAAATGACCTGTGTAAATATGAAACAATGGCCGATGAATGCTTGTGGCAAAATTGATGGCAAATGTCCCCCTCAGACAGCCAACACTGATTTATACTGCGATCATTTCACGCCCCCGCTGGTATCAAGGGCCAGAAGTGCTGTCTAACAAAATATTGTATTCAGCATTCACTGAGTAATGAGCAAATATGTTGTGATATCCATTATCACGATGGATTATCATATCATGGTTGTCATACGCTTTGACATGAAGGTCATGTTACTCATATAAATTTTGCTCTGGAGATGAGATTGTGGATCTACATGTTGATGCAGACATGATTGGTCTTGTACATCTTGCTGCTGAACCTTGGTTGGCAGACATAAGAGGAGGCAGCGTTGTATAACTGTGTTATAGACTGAGTGGTATTGTATAGCATTGTATGCCGGGCCAGGGAGTTATTGGTGGTCCAGCACTCCGAGTGAGGAGGACTTAGCGTGGCACTTGTCACTGACACACACAGGCCCAGTGCTCTTTAATCATCATTACAGCGAGTCAAGTTCCACATCACAAGTCAGACCAGATAGCTTTTAATGCACAACAACCTTGCTATGTAGAATATTCTACGTCAGCAGCATGTTCATTGTTTACAAATGAACTGTAAGGTTAATGGTTAAAGCGTTGGCTCGTCACGCCGAAGACCCCGGGTTTGAATCCCCACATGGGCACATTGTGTGAAGCCCATTTCTGGTGTCCCCCGCCGTGATGTTGCTGGAATATTGCTAAAAGCAGCGTAAAACCAAACTCAGTCAGTCAGTCAGTCAGTCAGTCAGTTAATGAGGCATCGTTTCACCATCAGTGACCACATCTTGTTTCTTGACAATCTTGAACATCTGATTTTTGGTGAATTTCTTGTGTTGCAAAAATATTTCACATGGACATGGCAGTGAAAGTATGTAGAAGCTGCACATAGATTGCTGGGTAATAGGTCATTAGATTAGGGTACTTCTGGTGTACGTCATTGCTCCGATAATTCAGTGATAGGCATTTAGGGTCAGATTGTACATTCTGTCTGTATTGTCGGGGTCAGGTTGAACATGCTGTTTGTAGTGTCAGGGGTCTGGTTTTGCAACACCCACTGCAGTTTCAGAATCGGGGATGAGGATGTACATGTTGTCTGTAGTGTAGGGGTCACCGTCTGATACACCAGTAGTGCTGACCTTACCACTGCTGTCAGACCTGGTTACAATAAGCCATCACACTGTCACTTTCTGTGTCTAGAATATTGATGGAGTCGGAGGCAACATTGAGGCATAGTTTCCGCCTGGGCTTTACACAGTTTCTCCATGTTCCGTGATACTGGTACTAGAGTGATAGCTGCGTATTAACCACTCACTCACTCACTCACTCACTCACTCACTCACTCACTCACTCACTCACTCACTCACTCTGATACCAGGGTGTACCTGACATACTGGTTGATGTAGCTGTACCACCACCCGCACGCACACACACACACTCACACTCACTCACTCACTCACTCACTCACTCACTCACTCACTCACTCACTCACTCACTCACTCACTCACTCACTCACTCACTCACTCACTCACTCTTGAGCAGGACTATTCTCACAGATAACTGAACGTCACCTATGGTTTTAATAAACTGTTGCTGTAGGGGAACTTGTGTGCAGGAGTTGGAAGCTAACTTGTATTTACCTGGATGTTTGATAGTAGATAAAAGACATCTTTATTAACAACTCCAGACAAATTTTGAACCCAAATAGGCGGAGAACAAAACCTCGGAGGGAGGATTTGGATTTGAATGACAACATCGATTACTTCCTGTCTTTATAAAGTAGTTTCTTGTTTGGGTAAATAAAGATGAAAGGTGCTACAGGGTATTTATGATGATGAAAGACCCAGAACATCACTGTGTCTCTGGAGAGAATCCCTTTCAGGTTGATCAAAGGCATTTACCAGAATGTTTCCGACACAGGCAGTACTTGGACATTTTTGTCAGAGTGATTTTATTGTGGTCTAATTATGCAAGCTATTTCTAAGGTGGACAGGCTACAAGAGATTCATACTGGAATATATTGACCTAAATGACCAACCTGTTCATAGTTGCAGCTCATTTGATTATTGACTAGCACGCTTGCCAAACATTGCACATTGGGTCTCCGTAATATGTTATTACTCTTGCTGTTTACGCTTGTTCCTTGACTCAATTTAAAGGTCAATGTCAGTATAACTTACCACATTTATTCCCAATTGGAACTGATTTTACTACTGATTATAATAACTTATGGTGTGATATAATGTCAGTTGTCCATACATCTGTTAGTCTGACCATGTCCTTCCGTCATAACCTGTGACTGTGAAGCTGAAAAAGACTCTGTGGGCAAGTCTTCCTTCCTATGTTGGTTGATTGGGGTTCGTGTACCGGACACATGTAGATATAGCCTGCTTCAATCAGCTAAAGGTAAACCAAGTAACTTTGTTTTTCAGATTGTGGCCATATTTGCTTTTGCAACAACCACCAGCTTCAGGACCAATTCATCTTTGAAGACCAAATGTAACAATGCAAGCAACCCCTGGAAGGAATTCGTCTATGACTACTCATATCCATTTGAGTAAGTACCAGTTTCAATTCTCCGAACAGTCCACAATCCTCCATCAGTCCACTCTCCTCCATCAGTCCACACTCTTCCATCAGTCCACTTTCTTCCATCAGTCCACGCTACTCCATCAGTCCACTATCCTCCATCTGTCCACTATCCTCCATCAGTCCACTCTCTTCCATTAGTCCACTATCCTCCATCTGTCCACTATCCTCCATCAGTCCACTCTCCTCCATCAGTCCATGCTCCTCCATCTGTCCACTATCCTTCATCAGTCCACTATCCTCCATCAGTCCATGCTCCTCCATCTGTCCACTATCCTCCATGAGTCCATGCTCCTCCATCAGTCCACTATCCTCCATCTGTCCACTATCCTCCATCAGTCCACTATCCTCCATCAGTCCATGCTCCTCCATCTGTCCACTATCCTCCATCAGTCCACTATCCTCCATCAGTCCATGCTCCTCCATTAGTCCATGCTCCTCCATCTGTCCACTATCCTCCATCTGTCCACTATCCTCCATCTGTCCACTATCCTCCATCAGTCCACTATCCTCCATCAGTCCATTCTCCTCCATCAGTCCACTATCCTCCATCTGTCCATGCTCCTCCATCAGTCCGCTATCCTCCATCTGTCCACTATCCTCCATCAGTCCACTATTCTCCATCAGTCCATGCTCCTCCATCAGTCAGCTATCCTCCATCAGTCCACTGTCCTATCCTCCATCAGTCAGCTATCCTCCATCTATCCACTATCCTCCATCTGTCCACTATTCTCCATCAGTCCATGCTCCTCCATCTGTCCACTATCCTCCATCAGTCCACTATCCTCCATCAGTCCATGCTCCTCCATTAGTCCATGCTCCTCCATCAGTCCACTATCCTCCATCAGTCCACTATCCTTCATCAGTCCACTCTTCTCCATTAGTCCATGCTCCTCCATCAGTCCACGCTCCTCCATTAGTCCATACCTCTTGTCTTGCAGTCTGCGAAGTGTTGCAGTTGTCATCAACTGTAATGGCACATCAATACCCTACTACCTGGGACAGAGTGAGACGACACAAGCCCAGTTCTACGTGTTTGTCGGAGTCATTGCCTTCCTCTACTGCATTGGTGCTCTTATTCTCTACATCTTCTTTGACGATCTCTACCGCAAAAACAACCGAATTGTCATTGGGGTGAGTGAACTGAGTGTATTACAGTTTGTACAAGTGTTTTCCTTATTTACTGAAGCTCAAGTTACAAAGTGGGATGTTTTGATTTTTCGGCATGTTTTTATAAATTGCGTTGTAACATATGTAAGAGTTGTGTCCCATGACCCCCATGATACATCTGAAGGTGTCAAGGCCAGATTACCCCAACCAAAAGTGAGGTCTCTCATCTTCAATAAGTTGTTTCGTGGTTCAAATTCCTGTTTCACTTTGAAGATGGTTCTTGGTCTGATCTCGGTTTCACTGATGGGTAGACCAGTGGTTAAAGCCTTTGCATTTTTTCTAAAAGAAGCATAAAAACTCATTCACTAATTAGCTAAAATAAGTTTGGTATATCAACCTCCATAATCTCAACCAGGAACATGCCAGGAACCCATAGGGGTTTCAAATCCTGGTTCGCACACATAATTTAAGTAAATATCAGAGAAGTCACTCACCTGCTTGTTTCTTCCACATTACGCTGACATGCCATGATATAACCGGAGCTCACTGACTCACCCGCTTGTTTCTTCCACATTACGCTGACATGCCATGATATAACTGGAGCTCACTGACTCACCCGCTTGTTTCTTCCACATTACGCTGACATGCCATGATATAACTGGAGCTCACTGACTCACCAGCTTGTTTCTTCCACATTACGCTGACATGCCATGATATAACCGGAGCTCACTGACTCACCCGCTTGTTTCTTCCACATTACGCTGACATGCCATGATATAACCGGAGCTCACTGACTCACCCGCTTGTTTCTTCCACATTACGCTGACATGCCATGATATAACCGGAGCTCACTGACTCACCCACTTGTTTCTTCCACATTACGCTGACATGCCATGATATAACTGGAGCTCACTGACCCACCTGCTTGTTTCTTTTACATTACGCTGACATGCCATGATATAACCGGAGCTCACTGACTCACCAGCTTGTTTCTTCCACATAAAACTGACATGCCATGATATAACTGGAGCTCACTGACTCACCCGCTTGTTTCTTCCACATTACGCTGACATGCCATGATATAACTGGAGCTCACTGACTCACCCGCTTGTTTCTTCCACATTACGCTGACATGCCATGATATAACTGGAGCTCACTGAGTCACCCGCTTGTTTCTTCCACATTACGCTGACATGCCATGATATAACTGGAGCTCACTGACTCACCCGCTTGTTTCTTCCACATTACGCTGACATGCCATGATATAACTGGAGCTCACTGAGTCACCCGGCTTGTTTCTTCCACATTACGCTGACATGCCATGATATAACGGAGCTCACTGACTCACCCGCTTGTTTCTTCCACATTACGCTGACATGCCATGATATAACTGGAGCTCACTGAGTCACCCGCTTGTTTCTTCCACATTACGCTGACATGCCATGATATAACTGGAGCTCACTGAGTCACCCGCTTGTTTCTTCCACATTACGCTGACATGCCATGATATAACTGGAGCTCACTGACTCACCCGCTTGTTTCTTCCACATTACGCTGACATGCCATGATATAACCGGAGCTCACTTACTCACCTGCTTGTTTCTTCCACATTAAGCTGACATGTCATGATATAACCGGAGCTCACTGACTCACCTGCTTGTTTCTTCCACATTAAGCTGACATGTCATGATATGACCGGAGCTCACTGACTCACCCGCTTGTTTCTTCCACATTACGCTGACATGCCATGATATAACCGGAGCTCACTGACTCACCCGCTTGTTTCTTCCACATTACGCTGACATGTCATGATATAACTGGAGCTCACTGACTCACCCGCTTGTTTCTTCCACATTACGCTGACATGCCATGATATAACTGGAGCTCACTGACTCACCCGCTTGTTTCTTCCACATTACGCTGACATGCCATGATATAACTGGAGCTCACTGACTCACCCGCTTTACGCTGACATGCCATGATATAACCGCTTCCACATTACGCTGACATGCCATGATATAACTGGAGCTCACTGACTCACCCGCTTGTTTCTTCCACATTACGCTGACATGCCATGATATAACTGGAGCTCACTGACTCACCCGCTTGTTTCTTCCACATTACGCTGACATGCCATGATATAACTGGAGCTCACTGAGTCACCCGCTTGTTCATTCCACATTACGCTGACATGCCATGATATAACCGGAGCTCACTGAGTCACCTGCTTGTTTCTTCCACATTACGCTGACATGCCATGATATAACTGGAGCTCACTGACTCACTCGCTTGTTTCTTCCACATTAAGCTGACATGCCATGATATAACTGGAGCTCACTGACTCACCCGCTTGTTTCTTCCACATTACGCTGACATGCCATGATATAACTGGAGCTCACTGAGTCACCCGCTTGTTTCTTCCACGTAATGCTGACATGCCATGATATAACTTGAGCTCACTGACTCACTCGCTTGTTTCTTCCACATTATGCTGACATGCCATGATATAACTGGAGCTCACTGACTCACCCGCTTGTTTCTTCCACATTACGCTGACATGCCATGATATAACTGGAGCTCACTGACTCACCCGCTTGTTTCTTCCACGTAAAGCTGACATGCCATGATATAACTAGAGCTCACTGACTCACCTGCTTGTTTCTTCCACGTTAAGCTGACATGCCATGATATAACTGGAGCTCACTGACTCACCCGCTTGTTTCTTCCACATTACGCTGACATGCCATGATATAACTGGAGCTCACCCGCTTGTTTCTTCCACATAAAACTGACATGCCATGATATAACTGGAGCTCACTGACTCACCCGCTTGTTTCTTCCACATTACGCTGACATGCCATGATATAACCGGAACTCACTAACTCACCCGCTTGTTTCTTCCACATTACGCTGTTGTGATGCAAAATAACTGAAATACTATGCTAAGTGGCAGCATTAGAACAAACTGACTCATTTGAATGAGTTTGACCAGTGACCTTTTACCTTTTGCTTGCAGGACTTTGTGATATCGGTTGTTATAACTGCCCTATGGCTCATCGCTTCCTCTGCCTGGGCTCAAGGTGTGTCTGACGTCAAGTTCTTCACCGACCCCAGCGAGTCAGGCCTCATCCAGTTGATCCCAGAATGCAAACATGCTCCCTGTGAAGTCGGTCACCTTGGCAACTTTGCAAGCCTTAATGTGTCCATTGTAAGTGTTAAGTTGAGTGGATCTTACACTCGCCTGCCTGAAAAGTCCAGATGACTTAATACTTTGTATCTTGCAGGAAAGTTCAAGCTAACCTCTCTGAAAAACCCAGATAAATTTCATCTTTAGTTGATGTGTAATTAAATATATTTCCTTAGTTCACATAGCTGAAAAACCAAAATACACATCATCCTATTGTCATCTTTAGGAAGTGCCTCACTGTTTTGTTAGTTAAGCATGGTACAAGAAGGAGCATGCCTGCAAGTAGATTGGGCAAAATATATATGAAAGGTCAAGATCATCCTCATGGTCAAAGCTGGAAGAAAACTTTGTTACAACAATAACTCAGGAATCATTTCCTGTATGTCAATGAAACTTGGCAACTTCAATACCTTGTACAAGGCTGCAATGTGAAAAAGGTCACAATGAAGGTAAAGTGTGTGGGGTGGTGGGGTAGCCTAGTGGTTAAAGACCTGGGTTCGATTGCCCACATGGGTACAATGTGTGAAGCCCATTTCTGGTGTCCCCTGCCATGATATTGCTTGAATATTGCTAAAAGCAGCATAAAACCACACTGACTCACTCACTAAAAGTGTGTATCCTTGTCACTGAAATGCCTTTGGGTGATTGATGGGATAGGGGATCCATGGGCCAATAGTGATGTAGGCAACAGCCAACCCTGACCCAAATACCCTAAAGAATGAAGAGGCACTTAAGATATAGTGAAGTGACCCAACGTAGCACTTCTTTTCTGAAAGGCCAGTCATGTTTCATCTTTAGTTAATCTGTCACAATTCCCAATGAAATTTTATCTTTAGCTCACATGAATCATTTTGGTTATTGGCTGTAATGATTTTATCTGAATTGATATGTACCATATCAGGTGATAGTTCCCATCTGTTCCTTTTCAGATCTTCGGATTTCTCAACTTTCTGGTGTGGGCTGCCAACCTGTGGTTCTTGTACAAGGAGACTCCTTGGTTCAAGGTCCGCTCTAAGCCTCCAAGTTCCCCAGGTACGCAGTCCGAGATCGACCCACAGAAAGTATAGTGCTTCACCCAAGCCAGTTACTATGAGCTAGGATTGAAAGCTTGATGCATGGTTATACAAAGTGATTATGATAGGAAATCTGTCATTTCAAGTGTTAAGTGGAGTTCTAATCCTACCGGGATAATTAAAGGTGGCAAACCTGCAGTGGTCTAGTTCTAACCCTTCTCGTGATAATACAAGGTGGTAAACATGCAGTGGTCTCTCTGTCAGGACAAGTGCCAACACCTGAATATTTATGCAATCTTTTTGTATTGAGAGGATAGGGGCTTCATGTATAGTTTGGACACTAGCATTGAAAGCTGTGATTATGCTTAGTCTTCAAGAATAGAATATAAATTCCATTGAAATACAGAAGAATCTTGTGATATTAGGCTTGTGAAAATCATACATCAAGTTTTCTCCTGTTTTTTGTGCTGGGGTCCTTCTTTTGCCTTATCAGTTGTTTCGTTGATCTGCTAACGCAGCACTTCCAACACAGGTTCCATCTTCTGGTGCTATGTAGTTAGGTTGGGGCTCTAGTGATCAGGTTGTTGGAGCAGTGAGTCAGCCATGGATACTGGAGTCAAGGATTGATACTGGAGTCAAGGATTGATACTGGAGTCAAGGATTGTAAAGCAATCAAGGATGCTTCATGTTTATCAGACTGCACGGATAAAGTTCTCCACACCACTGTTGAATGTTCTTCATATCACTGTTGAATGTTCTTCAGACCACAGTTGAATGTTCTTCAGACCACAGTTGAATGTTCTTCAGATCACTGTTGAATGTTCTTCAGACCACAGTTGAATGTTCTTTAGACCACAGTTAAATGTTCTTCAGATCACTGTTGAATGTTCTTCAGACTACAGTTGAATGTTATTCAGACCATGGTTGAATGTTCTTCAGACCATGGTTGAATGTTCTTCAGATCACTGTTGAATGTTCTTCACACCAATGTTGACTGCTGTTGAGTTATATCATACTGGTTGTTCTCTACTGGTTACATGTCAATTTGCTATCTTGGTGTCGCCGGCTCAGTGAAAAACGCTGTGACTTGAGATTTGTGAAATGACGTCATTAGGCAATCTTGGTTTTGCCTACTGTGTGATGAGCATTGTGATATTAGGATTTGTGAAATGACGTCATTAGGCAATCTGGGTTTTGCCTGCTCTGTGATGAACATTCTGTATCTTCTTTGCTATTGTGGACCCCAGCAGCAGTTAAATTATGTCGAGGATTAGCAGGACTAATTGACGGGGTACCAGGATTATTCATAGTTCACACTTATCCAGGAACATCCGGATTGTGATATGTAGGAAATGCAAAATTGTGGATGTGATTTATGCAGGATTATCAGGACTGGGTTACAGGATTATCTGGGAGTAGTACTGTCAGGAAGAAGTCGCCCTTGGAAATATCATATTTATGTGGGAACTAGTATATAGCTGGGAAATGGAGGATTGTGAATAGGTGACACATTGGAATATCAGGATTGTGAATAGGTGACACATTGGAATATCAGGATTGTGAATAGGTGACACATTGGAATATCTGGATTGTGAATAGGATTTGGGGAAGTGAGCCTCAACAAGTGCTGCATATTCAGTGGAACGTGTGTCCTGCAAACTACTAATCCATTGCTAGATGTGTTATTGCAAATAATATAAATCTTTTATATGTGAGCTTGATCTGTCAAGGTAAGTGTGGCTTTTTTAGAGTGGTGTTCATTTTGTGTGAAATATGTCTAAAATATTTTGAAATGGAAATTATTGTACATTCTGAATGATTTCAATCAAAGACATGGCATTCTATTTTCTTCATCAACTTGTACATATGAACTTGCTGCACCTATAAATACAAGCACCTGCCTACCTGTCACACAGCAATGCGTGTGAACTATGTGCATGCTCTCACACATTTCTTCACTGGCCACATCCATCTGCACAGTCAATATTTTCATTCTCATCTTTCCTTTCCACACAAGTCACATTCTTCCAACAATCTGGCTCAGAGAAAGTCAAAAGAGGCCAGACCTGACGTTTTGACAGTTATTAAACTCTAATCCAAAATCTGGTGATAGAGTTGAGTGTGTAGGTTACAGAATATTGTATATTCTCAAATATGACATGTCTTTGTGTATATAGTACTAAGAAGCATTATCTGCATGGCTTCAATCTAGCTGTGGTAACTGTATCTGTGCTGTTGCCTATACATCATATTGATATTGATACTGATATTGATATTGACTCGTCTGTACACAGAGCAGCAGGCTGTTCCATAGTGTTTTCAGGACTGAAAAGCTTCTCTCTGGTGTATGAAAGACAAACTGTCTATTCCTCCAATTACCTTCTCGGTAAAAGGTTTATTATTGGACAATGATATTTCTAACAAACTTGCATGCTCCTCATAGTGTTGAACTATCTATATTATATATACATGTATTGCTGGCTTTCATCAAGGTATATTAGTAACTGGTGACACCCCTCAGCCCTCACATGGGAAGGTGCCGCGTGTTCTTGGAATGGGATCCTTGTAAATGCTAGCTGCACTTGGCTCTTTCTTGACCCCAATTTTGGTTTACTTGTTTTCAAATTCCTCATGGTTTAAGTTCAGGATCCTCCACCACTCCACCCTAGCCCATCTCAACATAAGCAATGCATTCACTCACCTCCTTGCTCTCCAGGCCCTAAATAACTTCACACTACCTTACCCAGTCAACCATGCACCAAGCAGTGCTACCTAATCATAGTGTTAAACAAGGACAATTACATCAAGCAGTACAGTACATCAAAACCTGATTACAAATTCCTAAGGTTGAGCAGGGACAATTACACCAAGCCCTCCTTGCATGCTCCTAGGGTTGACCAGGGACAGTTACACCAAGCCCTCCTTGCTCCTTGGGTTGACAGGGACAGTTACGCCAAGCCTTCCTTGCATGCTCCTTGGGTTGACCAGGGACAGTTACACCAAGCCCTCCTTGCATGCTCCTAGGGTTGACCAGGGACAGTTACACCAAGCCCTCCTTGCTCCTTGGGTTGACAGGGACAGTTACGCCAAGCCTTCCTTGCATGCTCCTTGGGTTGACCAGGGACAGTTACACCAAGCCCTCCTTGCATGCTCCTAGGGTTGACCAGGGACAGTTACGCCAAGCCTTCCTTGCATGCTCCTAGGGTTGACCAGGGACAGTTACACCAAGCCCTCCTTGCATGCTCCTAGGGTTGACCAGGGACAGTTACACCAAGCCCTCCTTGCTCCTTGGGTTGACAGGGACAGTTACACCAAGCCTTCCTTGCATGCTGCAAGGGTTGACCAGGGACAGTTACACCAAGCCCTCCTTGCATGCTCCAAGGGTTGACCAGGGACAGTTACACCAAGCCCTCCTTGCATGCTCCTAGGGTTGACCAGGGACAGTTACACCAAGCCCTCCTTGCATGCTGCAAGGGTTGACCAGGGACAGTTACGCCAAGCCCTCCTTGCATGCTCCTAGGGTTGACCAGGGACAGTTACACCAAGCCCTCCTTGCATGCTCCTAGGGTTGACCAGGGACAGTTACACCAAGCCCTCCTTGCTCCTTGGGTTGACAGGGACAGTTACGCCAAGCCTTCCTTGCATGCTCCTTGGGTTGACCAGGGACAGTTACACCAAGCCCTCCTTGCATGCTCCTAGGGTTGACCAGGGACAGTTACACCAAGCCCTCCTTGCTCCTTGGGTTGACAGGGACAGTTACGCCAAGCCTTCCTTGCATGCTCCTAGGGTTGACCAGGGACAGTTACACCAAGCCCTCCTTGCTCCTTGGGTTGACAGGGACAGTTACACCAAGCCCTCCTTGCATGCTCCTAGGGTTGACCAGGGACAGTTACACCAAGCCCTCCTTGCTCCTTGGGTTGACAGGGACAGTTACACCAAGCCTTCCTTGCATGCTCCTTGGGTTGACCAGGAACAGCTACATCAAACCCTCCTTGCTCCTTGGGTTGACAGGGACAGTTACACCAAGCCTTCCTTGCATGCTCCTAGGGTTGACCAGGGACAGTTACACCAAGCCCTCCTTGCATGCTCCTAGGGTTGACCAGGGACAGCTACACCAAGCCCTCCTTGCTCCTTGGGTTGACAGGGACAGTTACACCAAGCACTCTTTGCTCCTAGGGTTGACCAGGGACAATCACACCAAGCCCTCCTTGCATGCTCCTAGGGTTGACCAGGGACAGTTACACCAAGCCCTCCTTGCATGCTCCAAGGGTTGACCAGGGACAATCACACCAAGCCCTCCTTGCATGCTCCTAGGGTTGATAGGACAGTTACACCAAGCCCTCCTTGCTCCTAGGGTTGACCAGGGACAATCACACAAAGCCCTCCTTGCATGCTCCTAGGGTTGACCAGGGACAGTTACACCAAGCCCTCTTTGCATGCTCCTTGGGTTGACCAGGGACAGTTACACCAAGCCCTCCTTGCATGCTCCAAGGGTTGACAGGGACAGTTACACCAAGCCCTCCTTGCTCCTAGGGTTGATAGGGACAGTTACACCAAGCCCTCCTTGCTCCTAGGGTTGACCAGGGACAATCAAACCAAGCCCTCCTTGCATGCTCCTAGGGTTGACCAGGGACAGTTACACCAAGCCCTCCTTGCATGCTGCAAGGGTTGACCAGGGACAGTTACACCAAGCCCTCCTTGCATGCTCCTTGGGTTGACCAGGGACAGTTAACGCCAAGCCTTCCTTGCATGCTCCTAGGGTTGACCAGGGACAGTTACACCAAGCCCTCCTTGCTCCTAGGGTTGACAGGGACAGTTCACGCCAAGCCTTCCTTGCATGCTCCTAGGGTTGACCAGGGACAGTTACACCAAGCCCTCCTTGCATGCTCCTAGGGTTGACCAGGGACAGTTACACCAAGCCCTCCTTGCATGCTCCTTGGGTTGACCAGGGACAGTTACACCAAGCCCTCCTTGCATGCTCCTAGGGTTGACCAGGGACAATCACACCAAGCCCTCCTTGCATGCTCCTTGGGTTGACCAGGGACAGTTACACCAAGCCCTCTTTGCATGCTCCTTGGGTTGACCAGGGACAGTTACACCAAGCCCTCCTTGCATGCTCCTAGGGTTGACAGGGACAGTTACACCAAGCCCTCCTTGCATGCTCCAAGGGTTGACCAGGGACAGTTACACCAAGCCCTCCTTGCATGCTCCTAGGGTTGACCAGGGACAATCACACCAAGCCCTCCTTGCATGCTCCTTGGGTTGACCAGGGACAGTTACACCAAGCCCTCCTTGCATGCTCCTAGGGTTGACCAGGGACAGTTACACCAAGCCCTCCTTGCATGCTGCAAGGGTTGACCAGGGACAGTTACACCAAGCCCTCCTTGCATGCTCCTTGGGTTGACCAGGGACAGTTACGCCAAGCCTTCCTTGCATGCTCCTAGGGTTGACCAGGGACAGTTACACCAAGCCCTCCTTGCTCCTTGGGTTGACAGGGACAGTTACGCCAAGCCTTCCTTGCATGCTCCTAGGGTTGACCAGGGACAGTTACACCAAGCCCTCCTTGCATGCTCCTAGGGTTGACCAGGGACAGTTACACCAAGCCCTCCTTGCATGCTCCTTGGGTTGACCAGGGACAGTTACACCAAGCCCTCCTTGCATGCTCCTAGGGTTGACCAGGGACAATCACACCAAGCCCTCCTTGCATGCTCCTTGGGTTGACCAGGGACAGTTACACCAAGCCCTCTTTGCATGCTCCTTGGGTTGACCAGGGACAGTTACACCAAGCCCTCCTTGCATGCTCCTAGGGTTGACAGGGACAGTTACACCAAGCTCTCCTTGCATGCTCCAAGGGTTGACCAGGGACAGTTACACCAAGCCCTCCTTGCATGCTCCTAGGGTTGACCAGGGACAGTTACACCAAGCCCTCCTTGCTCCTTGGGTTGACAGGGACAGTTACACCAAGCCTTCCTTGCATGCTCCTTGGGTTGACCAGGAACAGCTACATCAAACCCTCCTTGCTCCTTGGGTTGACAGGGACAGTTACACCAAGCCTTCCTTGCATGCTCCTAGGGTTGACCAGGGACAGTTACACCAAGCCCTCCTTGCATGCTCCTAGGGTTGACCAGGGACAGCTACACCAAGCCCTCCTTGCTCCTTGGGTTGACAGGGACAGTTACACCAAGCACTCTTTGCTCCTAGGGTTGACCAGGGACAATCACACCAAGCCCTCCTTGCATGCTCCTAGGGTTGACCAGGGACAGTTACACCAAGCCCTCCTTGCATGCTCCAAGGGTTGACCAGGGACAATCACACCAAGCCCTCCTTGCATGCTCCTAGGGTTGATAGGGACAGTTACACCAAGCCCTCCTTGCTCCTAGGGTTGACCAGGGACAATCACACAAAGCCCTCCTTGCATGCTCCTAGGGTTGACCAGGGACAGTTACACCAAGCCCTCTTTGCATGCTCCTTGGGTTGACCAGGGACAGTTACACCAAGCCCTCCTTGCATGCTCCAAGGGTTGACAGGGACAGTTACACCAAGCCCTCCTTGCTCCTAGGGTTGATAGGGACAGTTACACCAAGCCCTCCTTGCTCCTAGGGTTGACCAGGGACAATCAAACCAAGCCCTCCTTGCATGCTCCTAGGGTTGACCAGGGACAGTTACACCAAGCCCTCCTTGCATGCTGCAAGGGTTGACCAGGGACAGTTACACCAAGCCCTCCTTGCATGCTCCTTGGGTTGACCAGGGACAGTTACGCCAAGCCTTCCTTGCATGCTCCTAGGGTTGACCAGGGACAGTTACACCAAGCCCTCCTTGCTCCTAGGGTTGACAGGGACAGTTACGCCAAGCCTTCCTTGCATGCTCCTAGGGTTGACCAGGGACAGTTACACCAAGCCCTCCTTGCATGCTCCTAGGGTTGACCAGGGACAGTTACACCAAGCCCTCCTTGCATGCTCCTTGGGTTGACCAGGGACAGTTACACCAAGCCCTCCTTGCATGCTCCTAGGGTTGACCAGGGACAATCACACCAAGCCCTCCTTGCATGCTCCTTGGGTTGACCAGGGACAGTTACACCAAGCCCTCTTTGCATGCTCCTTGGGTTGACCAGGGACAGTTACACCAAGCCCTCCTTGCATGCTCCTAGGGTTGACAGGGACAGTTACACCAAGCCCTCCTTGCATGCTCCAAGGGTTGACCAGGGACAGTTACACCAAGCCCTCCTTGCATGCTCCTAGGGTTGACCAGGGACAATCACACCAAGCCCTCCTTGCATGCTCCTTGGGTTGACCAGGGACAGTTACACCAAGCCCTCCTTGCATGCTCCTAGGGTTGACCAGGGACAGTTACACCAAGCCCCCTCCTTGCATGCTGCAAGGGTTGACCAGGACAGTTACACCAAGCCCTCCTTGCATGCTCCTTGGGTTGACCAGGGACAGTTACGCCAAGCCTTCCTTGCATGCTCCTAGGGTTGACCAGGGACAGTTACACCAAGCCCTCCTTGCTCCTTGGGTTGACAGGGACAGTTACGCCAAGCCTTCCTTGCATGCTCCTAGGGTTGACCAGGGACAGTTACACCAAGCCCTCCTTGCATGCTCCTAGGGTTGACCAGGGACAGTTACACCAAGCCCTCCTTGCATGCTCCTTGGGTTGACCAGGGACAGTTACACCAAGCCCTCCTTGCATGCTCCTAGGGTTGACCAGGGACAATCACACCAAGCCCTCCTTGCATGCTCCTTGGGTTGACCAGGGACAGTTACACCAAGCCCTCTTTGCATGCTCCTTGGGTTGACCAGGGACAGTTACACCAAGCCCTCCTTGCATGCTCCTAGGGTTGACAGGGACAGTTACACCAAGCTCTCCTTGCATGCTCCAAGGGTTGACCAGGGACAGTTACACCAAGCCCTCCTTGCATGCTCCTAGGGTTGACCAGGGACAATCACACCAAGCCCTCCTTGCATGCTCCAAGGGTTGACCAGGGACAGTTACACCAAGCCCTCCTTGCATGCTCCTAGGGTTGACCAGGGACAGTTACACCAAGCCCTCCTTGCATGCTGCAAGGGTTGACCAGGGACAATCACACAAAGCCCTCCTTGCTTCTCGGTTGACTAGGGACAATCACACAAAGCCCTCCTTGCATGCTCCTAGAGTTTACCAGGACTATACCTTGATGAAGCCTCAGTCCCTTTCAGCTCTGTGTTTTTGTGTTGTCTGTGACTGAATTTTTTCTTTACTATTTTGTTTCTCTAGAAGCAGGCCCGCCTCAGCAACCTCCCACCAACCAATATTAAGGTGTATCCAGTAGTAAGTAGTCTCGACTAACCAAGTACTTCCCTTCTTATAGCTGTGCAACATGGTATTGGAATAAAAACTAACTTGTGGTGTCAAAAGTAGTTAGGATATTTTTCTGTCAGATAATATTTGGTTTGTTTCGATTCATTGATATTTTGGATTTTGTAATATTGTAGGGAAGAAATAATGAATTTTGAAATGTCCCACTTGATATATGAGAACCCGGAGGAAATGTCAGTCATCACCAGTGGTTTCTATATTTCAATAATGGAACTCTGTAGCATCCCAGTCAGACAGATAGATGTCAGTGTAGTGTTTACTGAGAGAGGAAGACATGACACATGGGTCAGGCTCAATGCATTGGTCGGACATGACACATGGGTCATGTTACCCATAGGTTCAATGTGACACATGACTTGATCGACCAGGTTACTTTCAGATCAGTGCAAATTTATCAGGGGATGGTTGAGACTTAAAACAGATCAAAATGTTTCCTGTCAGATATAGACAGGCTGTTGTGTCATGTAGGAAGCTGGGATGACTACAGGGTTCCAGCGTTCCACTGCTATAGGATAATCTTGAGATCTGACTCTGTAGGCCAGAGTTCACCGAGAGGTACCAGTTGTAGGCCAGAGTTCACCGAGAGGTATCAGTCGTTTGTGATGTGTGGATGGGGTACATTCAGTTTATTATCAAACAAGTCAACCTAGAACCTAAGTAACATGGCTTGTCGTGATATACACATATAGACTACACTGAACCAGTGGGTGATGTCCCTTTTCTTTGCCACAATCCTGTCCATCTTGTGAATACTGTTTCCATATCAACACATCCTGTGTTTGTTGGTTTGATGTAACTCCAGCACCAGCACCACCACCACCATGTTACCCCAGACCATCAAGCTGCTGTAGAGTAATTTACAATAGGGTTGTATCCTGGTCATTCTAACCTTGTGTCATTTCTAGTATTGCTTGTGTATTTGATGTGTGTGAGTGAAATCGTAAGTTGCACCGATTCCATGTCAATGTTTAACCCATTGGTCTTTTACTATATATATTTTAGAGCACTGAGAATAGACTGAGTAATATCTGTTAATCGAGTGAAGTGGTTCGTCAAATCCTTCCATCCATTTAAAGTCACACATAAGACTCCGGCTTCCCACTCCAGCATAGCATGGCATCTTCATACAGTAAACCTATCCCAAAAGGCAGTGGGTGTATCCCATAGTACAGTGGACGTATACCAACCTGCAGTGAACCTATCCCATAATGCACTGAAACGATCCCATAATCCATTGGACCTATCCCAAAATGCAGTAGACCTATCCCATAATGCACTGAAACGATCCCATAATGCAGTGGACCTATCACAAAATGCAGTAGACCTACCCCGTAAAGCACTGAACCAATCCCATAATGCAGTGTAACTGTCTCATCTTGTCCTTCCCTTTGTTAGGTACAACCAAAATCAGGTCACATCAAATAATCTGAAATGTTATGTTAAACATCATTACCCCCAATACATCAATGTCTAACTGGCTTGTCATATTGGTTATTTGGCTTTGAGGATCAACACTTGTGTAAATAACAGCCATAGTGTCACATACCATCCTCAATGGGGAATTATTGGGCCATCATCTGGGGCAAGTTTATTCTTGTTAAAGAACACATACTGTTCATTCTAGACTGGTGTAGAAATATCTAACTCTGATAGTTGTATAAGTAAAGGGCCACTAACTGGATCAACGAAGGTCCTTAATCTGTATTATATCTTGTTCACGGTTTGCATGGATATTTAGTCTAGTTGGAGTCATCTCCCTTGCACTGCACAGAGATTTTCCTCATACTGTATTTTTGTGCGATTTGACAAAGAGTTTACTGTTTGTATTTTGCTGAGTGTATTTTTGTATTAGCTGGAGTCTTCCTCAGGATCTGTACAACAGAAAATAAATGTCTGGGTGGTTGCTATTTTATCAACATTGTGACAAGAATGTTTTCTACCCACTCAATTTCAATTCAACTCATTGACAATTGTTATGTTTAATCTACTTTCTTATTCAAGAGATTCATGGCTTATGAGAACTGACATCTCAGTAAAACAAGAATGATCTCAAAACATCACACCCTGTTAGTTCTATTCTTCTGTCAGAGCCAAGTTTTAACATCCGAAATGTTGTGTATTTTAACTCTTTGTTGTACATATAAAGGGACACTTTCTCTATTCTGAAGTTTACATACTTGAGCCACAACACAAAAATGTTTGTGATTTGGATTTATTTCATTTGTTTGTACAAACCTGTCTGACTGTAATGCAATCAAATGACAGCTATTCTGATTCATAATTTTTTAAAAATATTTCAGACTCATGTTTCTGTAACAGAAATCTGCCAACCATTGACAGAAACATGGCTTCCTATGCCACAGTAATAGGGTCACCATTTTGTTTTGGAGGAGTCCGTCGATTAAAACATTTGCATAAACTACATTCCATTTGGAAATAGGTGGCCTTGACCTCAGGGCGAGCATTACAATGTGAGTGATGAATTTCATTGCATCTTGTCGATGTGATATGCCTTGTTTTGCTTCTGTTGTTTGTATTTTGAATACTATTGTATCTGGTGTTTGATATGGGTTGAAATGTAGATATGTATATTATTCATTTTGTGTGTGGAGCTACCATTTTGTTAGTACAAGTGATGAAGTGTCAACAGTTCTTGTCATCGACATGCTCCTGTACTTTACGAATGATTCACATGTAATCAGGTCAAATATTCTGTTCAGAAAAAGAAATATTGGTCCAAACCAATCCAGTTTCTACTTTAGTATGCCAGGGGGCGAAAGAAACAAATGTTTACCAGCAGTACTGTGTATATAAGCAGCCACCAGGTATATTCTGAAAAGCCAAGAAAACATCATCTGTCACAGGCTTCACCCACTGTAAACATGCAGCATCTGGGTTGTGGGCACGGTGGTCAGTCATGCTGACTGCCTGTTTGATTCTCTATCTGCTCTCCCCAATTATTGCTGGAATATTGCTAATAGTGGAGTAGAACCAGACTCACTCACTCACTCCAGGGTCTGGGGACACACAAGGGGTGAAGACCTTAATGAATACTACACCAGTAATAACTGAAGTCAGTTGGATATTGTAGACCATATTTCATCTATTGAGCATCAAATACGGTGTGTTTATGACTATTTATTCCTGTTTTTAATCCATGCTTATCGAGTTCTTGTATGCTGTTCATTCCTTCATGTTATAACATGGTAATAACCAATGTTCAGGATCTCATGTCCTGACGTACTGTTCTGCTAGTTCCTGTTGAACCATTCATTCTGTAGTTTTGGTCCTTTAGTTGTTTGTATGAACAATAACGCTAATAAATTGGTTTATTTATTATGTGCCATTCTTGTTTTTAAACAATGAGGAAACAAGTGTCAGAAACTGGCCTTACAGTAGGAGACATCACCACCCATCAAGGTGGCGCCAGTGATAGATATTATAATACATTAAGAGACATTCAAACCCATGGGAGTATCTCAAACTTACAGAAACTGATTTATTACCCATATGGTGAACCATAACTGGTGTCATACATGCACATATCACTTCAGCCTAGCCACTATTGTTTCTGCATTTCGTCGTCTGTGATGTCAACGAAGGGGGGCCATCACACTTGCTTACCGTGTTTTACTGCACAAACGTTCATGAATAAAATTTGATAATAAAGAAATTGTTACACTCGAGCAAGTGTGTCATATGACTTATACGAAACTCATGCAAAATTATGTATTGCTCGAAGCGACAACATTTCACTAAAGTCGTATGACACACTTGCTCTTGTAATAATCTCTATATATTATTATTTACATTTATCACTTTTGCATAACAATAAGAAAAACTTGTACATATTTATCGCTGCCTCTATGCAAGTTAAGGGCTAGATCTGCTTTGATCAACATAAACATGTGTGGGATTCAAACACATGATCACTGGGTTCTGGTACACCTAAGGGAGGCAACTCTAAACCACTAACTGCAGCATGAGTCCAGAACTATGCCTTGGTTAATCATTTGATTAAAATGAGTGTACAGCAAGAATATAATGATCTAAGCTGTATAATCCTTAGTTTACCGACCACCCAAAAGAATTCCAAAACATTCTGAATAGATAATTATCGTAATACTGAACCCCACTGTACGCAGGTGATCAAGAAGCACATTGGTGAATCTTTGGCTTGCGATCCCTTGACTATATGTAAACAACCTCCACCCGTTACATCCACCTCTTCATCTGGTACAGCCAGAATACTGAAGGACACAAAATCGATCCCTGAAACAAAATGTTGAATTAAACGAGGAAGATGTCTGCATTACGTGCATGAAGCAGCCCGACATTTTCCTGATTGCTCTCCACCAGAATGAATGAATGAATGAACCCATCCATCTATTCATCATACATTTATATACCAGACATATCCAGCTTCTAGTATCTGCTGACAGGTGTTTCCTTCCCTGAATCTATGCTTTCAATGTATCATTCTCAACTCCTTGGTAAGGGTGAAATGGTATACCATGGTATTTTGCTTTCGTTTGAGTATACATAATGGAATCCAAAGATTCGGTATTTTCGGTTTTTGTACCGCCATTTCATTAACCGTTTTAAACTTATTCGAAAATGTCAAGAAATCGAATCATTTTGTCAAAATCTTTCCATTTCTTTGCTGGTTGGCTCTTCTTGTCAATTTTCTGCATTATGATGGTATCTCACATACTGAACTGAAATGAACCAAACCGAAAGTTACTGAAGCCGGGTACCACAATACGTACCGTACCGTACCGTACAGTAGTAAGGGCGTACCGTTTCACCCCTACTCCTGGGGAGTATACAACCCAAGCTGTCATGGGGTAATGTTTCCACCATCTGGTGATCTAATTCTGACCACTGACTGGAGATTTACTGGCTCGACTGGATTTTGTATAGCCATGGGCTAGCAGGCCAGTGGCTATTTCACACACTCGATACTACAGTCCCCAAGATCCTCTACCTGGCAGTGAAGTCCTGCAGTGTCCTGAGATACTATAGTCTCCCTGCTCCCCTACCGGTACCCACCTGGCAGTGAAGTCCTGCAGTGTCCTGAGATACTATAGTCTCCCTGCTCCCCTACCTGTACCCACCTGGCAGTGAAGTCCTGCAGTGTCCTGAGATACTATAGTCCCCCTGATCCCCTACCTGTACCCACCTGGCAGTGAAGTCCTGCAGTGTCCTGAGATACTATAGTCCCCTGCTCCCCTACCTGTACCCACCTGGCAGTGAAGTCCTGCAGTGTCCTGAGATACTATAGTCCCCTGCTCCCCACCTGTACCCACCTGGCAGTGAAGTCCTGCAGTGTCCTGAGATACTATAGTCTCTCCTGATCCCTACCTGTACCCACCTGGCAGTGAAGTCCTGCAGTGTCCTGAGATACTATAGTCCCCCCTGCTCCCCCACCTGTACCCACCTGGCAGTGAAGTCCTGCAGTGTCCTGAGATACTATAGTCTCCCTGATCCCCCACCTGTACCCACCTGGCAGTGAAGTCCTGCAGTGTCCTGAGATACTATAGTCCCCCTGCTCCCCTACCTGTACCCACCTGGCAGTGAAGTCCTGCAGTGTCCTGAGATACTATAGTCCCCCTGCTAGTCCCCCCCCCACCTGTACCCACCTGGCAGTGAAGTCCTGCAGTGTCCTGAGATACTACAGTCCCCCTGCTCCCCCACCTGTACCCACCTGGCAGTGAAGTCCCTGCAGTGTCCTGAGATACTATAGTCTCCCTGATCCCCACCTGTACCTGGCCTGGCAGTGAAGTCCTGCAGTGTCCTGAGATACTATAGTCCCCCTGCTACCCACCTGGCAGTGAAGTCCTGCAGTGTCCTGAGATACTATAGTCCCCTGCTGGCCCCTGTCCTGAGATACTATACCTGTACCCACCTGGCAGTGAAGTCCTGCAGTGTCCTGAGATACTATAGTCCCCCTGCTCCCCTACCTGTACCCACCTGGCAGTGAAGTCCTGCAGTGTCCTGAGAGATACTATAGTCCCCCTGCTACCCCACCTGGCAGTGAAGTCCTGCAGTGTCCTGAGAGACTATAGTCTCCCTGATCCCCCACCTGTACCCACCTGGCAGTGAAGTCCTGCAGTGTGCTGAGATACTATAGTCCCCCTGCTCCCCCACCTGTACCCACCTGGCAGTGAAGTCCTGCAGTGTCCTGAGATACTATAGTCTCCCTGATCCCCTACCTGTACCCACCTGGCAGTGAAGGTCCTGCAGTGTCCTGAGATACTATAGTCTCCCTGATCCCCCACCTGTACCCACCTGGCAGTGAAGTCCTGCAGTGTCCTGAGATACTATAGTGTACCCCCTGATCCCCCACCTGTACCCACCTGGCAGTGAAGTCCTGCAGTGTCCTGAGAGACTATAGTCTCCCTGATCCCCCACCTGTACCCACCTGGCAGTGAAGTCCTGCAGTGTCCTGAGATACTATAGTCCCCCCTGCTCCCCTACCTGTACCCACCTGGCAGTGAAGTCCTGCAGTGTCCTGAGATACTATAGTCCCCCCTGCTACCCCACCTGTACCCACCTGGCAGTGAAGTCCTGCAGTGTCCTGAGATACTAGTCCTGCAGTGAGATACTAGTCCCCTGATCCCCCACCTGTACCCAGCCTGGCAGTGAAGTCCTGCAGTGTCCTGAGATACTATAGTCCCCCCTGCTACCCCCCCCACCTGGCAGTGAAGTCCTGCAGTGTCCTGAGATACTATAGTCCCCCTGCTCCCCCACCTGTACCCACCTGGCAGTGAAGTCTTGTCCTGAGACACTATAGTCCTGAGATACTATAGAGACTATAGTCCCCCTGCTCCCTACCTGTACCCACCTGGCAGTGAAGTCCTGCAGTGTCCTGAGATACTATAGTCTCCCTTCTGCAGTACCCACCTGGCTGAAGTCCTGCAGTGTCCTGAGACCCTATAGTCTCCCTGATCCCCCACTTTACCCCACCTGGCAGTGAAGTCCTGCAGTGTCCTGAGATACTATAGTCTCCCTGATCCCCCACCTGTACCCACCTGGCAGTGAAGTCCTGCAGTGTCCTGAGATACTATAGTCTCCCCTGCTCCCCTACCTGTACCCACCTGGCAGTGAAGTCCTGCAGTGTCCTGAGATACTATAGTCTCCCCTGCTCCCCTACCTGTACCCACCTGGCAGTGAAGTCCTGCAGTGTCCTGAGATACTATAGTCTGAGATCCCCTGCCACCTGTACCCACCTGGCAGTGAAGTCCTGCAGTGTCCTGAGATACTATAGTCCCCTGATCCCCCACCTGTACCCACCTGGCAGTGAAGTCCTGCAGTGTCCTGAGATACTATAGTCCCCTGCTCCCTACCTGTACCCACCTGGCAGTGAAGTCCTGCAGTGTCCTGAGATACTATAGTCCCCCTGCTCCCCACCTGTACCCACCTGGCAGTGAAGTCCTGCAGTGTCCTGAGAGATACTATAGTCCCCTGCTACCCCCACCTGGCAGTGAAGTGTTGCAGTGTCCCTATAGTCCCCTGCTCCCCACCTGGCACCTGGCAGTGAAGTCCTGCAGTGTCCTGAGATACTATAGTCCCCTGCTCCCCTACCTGTACCCACCTGGCAGTGAAGTCCTGCAGTGTCCTGAGATACTATAGTCCCCCTGATCCGGCAGTGAAGTCCCCCACTTGTACCCACCTGGCACCTGTAGTCCTGCAGTGTCCTGAGATACCCACCTGATCCCCCAGTGAAGTGTCCTGCAGTGTCCTGAGATACTATAGTCCCCCTGATCCCCTACCTGTACCCACCCCTGGCAGTGAAGTCCTGCAGTGTCCTGAGATACTATAGTCCCCCTGCTCCCCTACCCCACCTGGCAGTGAAGTCCTGCAGTGTCCTGAGATACTATAGTCTCCCCTACCCCCACCTGGCAGTGAAGTCCTGCAGTGTCCTGAGATACTATAGTCTCCCTGATCCCCTACCTGTACCCACCTGGCAGTGAAGTCCTGCAGTGTCCTGAGATACTATAGTCCCCCTGCTCCCCTACCTGTACCCACCTGGCAGTGAAGTCCTGCAGTGTCCTCCGAGACTATAGTCTCCCTGATCCCCCACTTGTACCCACCTGGCAGTGAAGTCCTGCAGTGTCCTGAGATACTAAAGTCTCCCTGATCCCCCACCTGTACCCACCTGGCAGTGAAGTGTTGCAGTGTCTTGAGAGACTATAGTCTCCCTGATCCCCTACCTGTACCCACCTGGCAGTGAAGTCCTGCAGTGTCCTGAGATACTATAGTCCCCCCTGCTCCCCCACCTGGCAGTGAAGTCCTGCAGTGTCCTGAGATACTATAGTCTCCCCTCCCCCCCACCTGGCAGTGAAGTCCTGCAGTGTCCTGAGATACTATAGTCTCCCTGATCCCCTACCTGTACCCACCTGGCAGTGAAGTCCTGCAGTGTCCTGAGATACTATAGTCCCCCCTGCTCCCCCACCTGGCAGTGAAGTCCTGCAGTGTCCTGAGATACTATAGTCTCCCTGCTCCCCCACCTGGCAGTGAAGTGTTGCAGTGTCCTGAGATACTATAGTCTCCTTCCTCCCCTACCTGCTCCCACCTGGCAGTGAAGTCCTGCAGTGTCCTGAGATACTATAGTCTCCCCTGCTCCCCCACCTGGCAGTGAAGTCCTGCAGTGTCCTGAGATACTATAGTCTCCCTGATCCCCTACCTGTACCCACCTGGCAGTGAAGTCCTGCAGTGTCCTGAGATACTATAGTCCCCCTGCTCCCCCACCTGGCAGTGAAGTCCTGCAGTGTCCTGAGATACTATAGTCTCCCTGCTCCCCCACCTGGCAGTGAAGTGTTGCAGTGTCCTGAGATACTATAGTCTCCTTCCTCCCCTACCTGCTCCCACCTGGCAGTGAAGTCCTGCAGTGTCCTGAGATACTATAGTCCCCCTGCTCCCCCACCTGGCAGTGAAGTCCTGCAGTGTCCTGAGATACTATAGTCTCCCCTGCTCCCCCACCTGGCAGTGAAGTCCTGCAGTGTCCTGAGATACTATAGTCTCCCTGATCCCCTACCTGTACCCACCTGGCAGTGAAGTCCTGCAGTGTCCTGAGATACTATAGTCTCCCCTGCTCCCCCACCTGGCAGTGAAGTCCTGCAGTGTCCTGAGATACTATAGTCTCCCTGATCCCCTACCTGTACCCACCTGGCAGTGAAGTCCTGCAGTGTCCTGAGATACTATAGTCTCCTTCCTCCCCTACCTGCTCCCACCTGGCAGTGAAGTCCTGCAGTGTCCTGAGATACTATAGTCTCCCCTGCTCCCCCACCTGGCAGTGAAGTCCTGCAGTGTCCTGAGATACTATAGTCCCCCCTGCTCCCCTACCTGTACCCACCTGGCAGTGAAGTCCTGCAGCGTCCTGAGATACTATAGTCCCCCTGCTCCCCTACCTGTACCCACCTGGCAGTGAAGTCCTGCAGTGTCCTGAGATACTATAGTCCCCCCTGCTACCCCACCTGGCAGTGAAGTCCTGCAGTGACCTGAGAGACTATAGTCTCCCTGATCCCCCACCTGTACCCACCTGGCAGTGAAGTCGTGCAGTGTGCTGAGATACTATAGTCCCCCTGCTCCCCCACCTGTACCCACCTGGCAGTGAAGTCCTGCAGTGTCCTGAGATACTATAGTCTCCCTGATCCCCTACCTGTACCCACCTGGCAGTGAAGTCCTGCAGTGTCCTGAGATACTATAGTCTCCCTGATCCCCCACCTGTACCCACCTGGCAGTGAAGTCCTGCAGTGTCCTGAGATACTATAGTCTCCCTGATCCCCCACCTGTACCCACCTGGCAGTGAAGTCCTGCAGTGTCCTGAGAGACTATAGTCTCCCTGATCCCCCACCTGTACCCACCTGGCAGTGAAGTCCTGCAGTGTCCTGAGATACTATAGTCCCCCTGCTCCCCTACCTGTACCCACCTGGCAGTGAAGTCCTGCAGTGTCCTGAGATACTATAGTCCCCCCTGCTACCCCACCTGTACCCACCTTGCAGTGAAGTCCTGCAGTGTCTTGAGATACTATAGTCTCCCTGATCCCCCACCTGTACCCGCCTGGCAGTGAAGTCCTGCAGTGTCCTGAGACACTATAGTCCCCCCTGCTACCCCACCTGGCAGTGAAGTCCTGCAGTGTCCTGAGATACTATAGTCCCCCCTGCTCCCCTACCTGTACCCACCTGGCAGTGAAGTCTTGCAGCGTCCTGAGATACTATAGTCCCCCTGCTCCCCTACCTGTACCCACCTGGCAGTGAAGTCCTGCAGTGTCCTGAGATACTATAGTTCCCCCTGCTACCCCACCTGGCAGTGAAGTCCTGCAGTGTCCTGAGAGACTATAGTCTCCCTGATCCCCCACCTGTACCCACCTTGCAGTGAAGTCCTGCAGTGTCCTGAGATACTATAGTCTCCCTGCTCCCCTACCTGTACCCACCTGGCAGTGAAGTCCTGCAGTGTCCTGAGATACTATAGTCTCCCTCCTCCCCTACCGGTACCCACCTGGCAGTGAAGTCCTGCAGTGTCCTGAGATACTATAGTCCCCCCTGCTACCCCACCTGGCAGTGAAGTCCTGCAGTGTCCTGAGATACTATAGTCTCCCTGATCCCCCACCTGTACCCGCCTGGCAGTGAAGTCCTGCAGTGTCCTGAGACACTATAGTCCCCCCTGCTACCCCACCTGTACCCACCTGGCAGTGAAGTCCTGCAGTGTCCTGAGATACTATAGTCCCCCTGCTCCCCTACCTGTACCCACCTGGCAGTGAAGTCCTGCAGCGTCCTGAGATACTATAGTCCCCCTGCTCCCCTACCTGTACCCACCTGGCAGTGAAGTCCTGCAGTGTCCTGAGATACTATAGTCCCCCCTGCTACCCCACCTGGCAGTGAAGTGTTGCAGTGTCCTGAGATACTATAGTCCCCCTGCTCCCCTACCTGTACCCACCTGGCAGTGAAGTCCTGCAGTGTCCTGAGATACTATAGTCCCCCTGCTCCCCTACCTGTACCCACCTGGCAGTGAAGTCCTGCAGTGTCCTCCGAGACTATAGTCTCCCTGATCCCCCACTTGTACCCACCTGGCAGTGAAGTCCTGCAGTGTCCTGAGATACTAAAGTCTCCCTGATCCCCCACCTGTACCCACCTGGCAGTGAAGTGTTGCAGTGTCTTGAGAGACTATAGTCTCCCTGATCCCCTACCTGTACCCACCTGGCAGTGAAGTCCTGCAGTGTCCTGAGATACTATAGTCCCCCCTGCTCCCCCACCTGGCAGTGAAGTCCTGCAGTGTCCTGAGATACTATAGTCTCCCCTCCCCCCCACCTGGCAGTGAAGTCCTGCAGTGTCCTGAGATACTATAGTCTCCCTGATCCCCTACCTGTACCCACCTGGCAGTGAAGTCCTGCAGTGTCCTGAGATACTATAGTCCCCCCTGCTCCCCCACCTGGCAGTGAAGTCCTGCAGTGTCCTGAGATACTATAGTCTCCCTGCTCCCCCACCTGGCAGTGAAGTGTTGCAGTGTCCTGAGATACTATAGTCTCCTTCCTCCCCTACCTGCTCCCACCTGGCAGTGAAGTCCTGCAGTGTCCTGAGATACTATAGTCTCCCCTGCTCCCCCACCTGGCAGTGAAGTCCTGCAGTGTCCTGAGATACTATAGTCTCCCTGATCCCCTACCTGTACCCACCTGGCAGTGAAGTCCTGCAGTGTCCTGAGATACTATAGTCCCCCCTGCTCCCCCACCTGGCAGTGAAGTCCTGCAGTGTCCTGAGATACTATAGTCTCCCTGCTCCCCCACCTGGCAGTGAAGTGTTGCAGTGTCCTGAGATACTATAGTCTCCTTCCTCCCCTACCTGCTCCCACCTGGCAGTGAAGTCCTGCAGTGTCCTGAGATACTATAGTCCCCCTGCTCCCCCACCTGGCAGTGAAGTCCTGCAGTGTCCTGAGATACTATAGTCTCCCCTGCTCCCCCACCTGGCAGTGAAGTCCTGCAGTGTCCTGAGATACTATAGTCTCCCTGATCCCCTACCTGTACCCACCTGGCAGTGAAGTCCTGCAGTGTCCTGAGATACTATAGTCCCCCCTGCTCCCCCACCTGGCAGTGAAGTCCTGCAGTGTCCTGAGATACTATAGTCTCCCTGCTCCCCCACCTGGCAGTGAAGTGTTGCAGTGTCCTGAGATACTATAGCCTCCTTCCTCCCCTACCTGCTCCCACCTGGCAGTGAAGTCCTGCAGTGTCCTGAGATACTATAGTCTCCCCTGCTCCCCCACCTGGCAGTGAAGTCCTGCAGTGTCCTGAGATACTATAGTCTCCCTGATCCCCTACCTGTACCCACCTGGCAGTGTGAAGTCCTGCAGTGTCCTGAGATACTATAGTCCCCCTGCTCCCCCACCTGGCAGTGAAGTCCTGCAGTGTCCTGAGATACTATAGTCTCCCTGCTCCCCCACCTGGCAGTGAAGTGTTGCAGTGTCCTGAGATACTATAGTCTCCTTGCTCCCCTACCTGCTCCCACCTGGCAGTGAAGTCCTGCAGTGTCCTGAGATACTATAGTCTCCCCTGCTCCCCCACCTGGCAGTGAAGTGTTGCAGTGTCCTGAGATACTATAGTCTCCTTCCTCCCCTACCTGCTCCCACCTGGCAGTGAAGTCCTGCAGTGTCCTGAGATACTATAGTCTCCCCTGCTCCCCCACCTGGCAGTGAAGTCCTGCAGTGTCCTGAGATACTATAGTCTCCCTGATCCCCTACCTGTACCCACCTGGCAGTGAAGTCCTGCAGTGTCCTGAGATACTATAGTCCCCCTGCTCCCCCACCTGGCAGTGAAGTGTTGCAGTGTCCTGAGATACTATAGTCTCCTTCCTCCCCTACCTGCTCCCACCTGGCAGTGAAGTCCTGCAGTGTCCTGAGATACTATAGTCTCCCCTGCTCCCCCACCTGGCAGTGAAGTCCTGCAGTGTCCTGAGATACTATAGTCTCCCTGATCCCCTACCTGTACCCACCTGGCAGTGAAGTCCTGCAGTGTCCTGAGATACTATAGTCCCCCTGCTCCCCCACCTGGCAGTGAAGTCCTGCAGTGTCCTGAGATACTATAGTCTCCCTGCTCCCCCACCTGGCAGTGAAGTGTTGCAGTGTCCTGAGATACTATAGTCTCCTTCCTCCCCTACCTGCTCCCACCTGGCAGTGAAGTCCTGCAGTGTCCTGAGATACTATAGTCTCCCTGCTCCCCCACCTGGCAGTGAAGTGTTGCAGTGTCCTGAGATACTATAGTCTTCTTGCTCCCCTACCTGCTCCCACCTCGCAGTGAAGTCCTGCAGTGTCCTGAGATACTATAGTCTCCCTGCTCCCCCACCTGGCAGTGAAGTGTTGCAGTATCCTGAGATACTATAGTCTCCTTGCTCCCCTACCTGCTCCCACCTGGCAGTGAAGTCCTGCAGTGTCCTGAGATACGATAGTCCACCCTGCTACCCCACCTGGCAGTGAAGTGTTGCAGTTTCCTGAGATACTATAGTCTCCTTGCTCCCCTACCTGCTCCCACCTGGCAGTGAAGTCCTGCAGTGTCCTGAGATACTATAGTCCCCTACCTGTACCCACCTGGCAGTGAAGTCCTGCAGTGTCCTGAGATACCGGAGGCCCCCTGTTTCCTCCACCAAGCTCTGTATCCTCACAGGATGGGGAGTGTCCACCTCCAGCCAGAGAGTGCTGCAACACACGAGCCAACTGATGAGGGCTTTGACCAGAGTCACAGACAGATAACATGTCAGCTGTATGAGAGAGCGTGACCAGAGTCACAGACAGATAACATGTCAGCTGTATGAGGGAGAGCGTGACCAGAGTCACAGACAGATAATATGTCAGCTGTATGAGGGAGAGCGTGACCAGAGTCACAGATAGATAATATGTCAGCTGTATGAGGGAGAGCGTGACCAGAGTCACAGACAGATAATATGTCAGCTGTATGAGGGAGAGCGTGACCAGAGTCACAGATAGATAATATGTCAGCTGTATGAGGGAGAGCATGACCAGAGTCACAGATAGATAATATGTCAGCTGTATGAGGGAGAGCGTGACCAGAGTCACAGATAGATAATATGTCAGCTGTATGAGGGAGAGCATGACCAGAGTCACAGATAGATAATATGTCAGCTGTATGAGGGAGAGCATGACCAGAGTCACAGATAGATAATATGTCAGCTGTATGAGGGAGAGCGTGACCAGAGTCACAGATAGATAACATGTCAGCTGTATGAGGGAGAGGCAGGGCTCAGAGACTACTACTACTGAATGGTTCGGGAACCAAGAAACAAAATCAAGAGAATCTGCTTTTTAACCCACAATCATGGTTTTCCTGTAATGCATGAAGGATACAACCCTGCACAGTGAACTGTCTTGCACAGAATTTCCATAACAACTGTTTCCGGCTTACAACTTCATCAACCTTTCTCTGGAGTATTGTGTGCCACCACTGCCATGCCATATGTGTGAGAGTGAAAGCAGATGAATATCCAATGACATTGTCGATGGACTTTAGTAAATTTGTTATCAAGTCAGATGTCCGTGACAGTGAACCTACTCCGTGTGTAACAGTGAACTTACCCCTTGTGTGTGACAGTGAACCTACCCCTTGTGTGTGACAGTGAACCTACCCCTTGTGTGTGACAGTGAACCTACCCCTTGTGTGTGACAGTGAACCTACTCCGTGTGTAACAGTGAACACTACCCCTTGTGTGTAACAGTGAACCTACCCCTTGTGTGTGACAGTGAACCTACCCCTTGTGTGTAACAGTGAACCTACCCCTTGTGTGTGACAGTGAACCTACCCCTTGTGTGACAGTGAACCTACCCCTTGTGTGTGACAGTGAACCTACCCCTTGTGTGTGACAGTGAACCTACCCCTTGTGTGTGACAGTGAACCTACCCCTTGTGTGTGACAGTGAACCTACCCCTTTGTGTGACAGTGAACCTACCCCTTGTGTGACAGTGAACCTACCCCTTGTGTGTGACAGTGAACCTACCCCTTGTGTGTGACAGTGAACCTACCCCTTCTGTGTGACAGTGAACCTACCCCTTGTGTGTGACAGTGAACCTACCCCTTGTGTGTGACAGTGAACCTACCCCTTGTGTGTGACAGTGAACCTACTCCTTGTGTGTGACAGTGAACCTATCCCTTGTGTGTGACAGTGAACCTATCCCTTGTGTGTGACAGTGAACACTACCCCTTGTGTGACAGTGAACACTACCCCTTGTGTGACAGTGAATATACCTTGTGTGACAGTTAACACTACCCCTTGTGTGACAGTTAACACTACCCCTTGTGTGTGACAGTGAATATACCCCTTGTGTGTGACAGTGAACCTATCCCTTGTGTGTGACAGTGAATATACCCCTTGTGTGTGACAGTGAACACTACCCCTTGTGTGACAGTGAACACTACCCCTTGTGTGACAGTGAATATACCTTGTGTGACAGTTAACACTACCCCTTGTGTGACAGTTAACACTACCCCTTGTGTGTGACAGTGAACACTCCCCCTTGTGTGACAGTGAACACTACCCCTTGTGTGACAGTGAACCTACCCCTTGTGTGGCAGTGAACCTACCCCTTGTGTGGCAGTGAACCTACCCCTTGTGTGACAGTGAACCTACCCCTTGTGTGTAACAGTGAACCTACCCCTTGTGTGACAGTGAACATACCCCTTGTGTGACAGTGAATATACCCCTTGTGTGTGACAGTAAACACTACCCCTTGTGTGACAGTGAACACTACCCCTTGTGTGTGACAGTGAACCTACCCCTTGTGTGTAACAGTGAACCTACCCCTTGTGTTACAGTGAACCTACCCCTTGTGTGACAGTGAATATACCCCTTGTGTGTGACAGTAAACACTACCCCTTGTGTGACAGTGAACACTACCCCTTGTGTGTGACAGTGAACACTACCCCTTGTGTGACAGTGAATATACACCTTGTGTGACAGTGAACCCCTTGACAGTGACTTGTGTGTGAGTGAACACTACCCCTTTGTGTGACAGTGAACACTACCCCTTGTGTGACAGTGAACCTACCCCTTGTGTGACAGTGAACCTACCCCTTGTGTGACAGTAAACGTACACCTTGTGTGACAGTGAACCAACCTCTTGTGTGTGACTGAACACTACCCCTTGTGTGTGACAGTGAACCAACCCCTTGTGTGACAGTGAACCAACCCTTTGTGTGACAGTGAACCTACCCCTTGTGAGTAACAGTGAACCTATCCCTTGTGTGACAGTGAACCTACCCCTTGTGTGACAGTGAACCTACCCCTTGTGTGACAGTGAACCAACCCTTGTGTGACAGTGAACCAACCCCTTGTGTGACAGTGAACCTACCCCTTGTGTGTGACAGTGAACCTACTCTGTGTGTAACAGTGAACACTACCCCTTGTGTGTGACAGTGAACCTACCCCTTGTGTGTGACAGTGAACCTACCCCTTGTGTGTGACAGTGAACCTACCCCTTGTGTGACAGTGAACCTACCCCTTGTGTGTGACAGTGAACCTACCCCTTGTGTGTGACAGTGAACCTACCCCTTGTGTGTGACAGTGAACCTACCCCTAGTGTGTGACAGTGAACCTACCCCTGTGTGTGACAGTGAACCTACCCCTTGTGTGTGACAGTGAACCTACTCCTTGTGTGTGACAGTGAACCTACCCCTTGTGTGTAACAGTGAACCTACCCCTTGTGTGTAACAGTGAACCTACCCCTTGTGTGACAGTGAACATACCCCTTGTGTGTGACAGTGAACCTACCCCTTGTGTGACAGTGAATATACCCCTTGTGTGTGACAGTGAACACTACCCCTTGTGTGACAGTTAACACTACCCCTTGTGTGACAGTGAACCTACTCCTTGTGTGTGACAGTTAACACTACCCCTTGTGTGTGGCAGTGAACCTACCCCTTGTGTGTGACAGTGAACACTCCCCCTTGTGTGACAGTGAACCTACCCCTTGTGTGGCAGTGAACCTACCCGTTGTGTGGCAGTGAACCTACCCCTTGTGTGACAGTGAACCTACCCCTTGTGTGTAACAGTGAACCTACCCCTTGTGTGACAGTGAACCTACCCCTTGTGTGACAGTGAATATACCCCTTGTGTGTGACAGTAAACACTACCCCTTGTGTGTGACAGTAAACACTACCCCTTGTGTGACAGTGAACACTACCCCTTGTGTGTGACAGTGAACACTACCCCTTGTGTGACAGTGAATATACACCTTGTGTGACAGTGAACCTACCCCTTGTGTGACAGTGAACACTACCCCTTGTGTGTGACAGTGAACACTACCCCTTGTGTGACAGTGAACCTACCCCTTGTGTGACAGTGAACCTACCCCTTGTGTGACAGTAAACGTACACCTTGTGTGACAGTGAACCAACCCCTTGTGTGACAGTGAACCAACCCTTTGTGTGACAGTGAACCTACCACTTGTGTGACAGTGAACCTACCACTTGTGTGACAATGAACCAACCCCTTGTGTGACAGTGAACCAACCCCTTGTGTGACAGTGAACCTACCCCTTGTGTGTCAACAGAGACTGGGCCTTGGTAAGAACATGTCTGACAACATCTAGACCGTCTCCTCCACCATGAAGAGCAGTATGGTCCTCATACCTTTTAACAAAAGTCAGTGTTGTCAATTTAGAAGTTTCAATTGACAATTCCTGTAAATATTAATCTATACCTTCCTTTTTTACACAATAGAGCCAGGGTACTGTAGTTCACCTTTATTTGTTGTTTTAACGCCACACTCAGCAATGTTTTATTGTGGCTTAAATAGTTGTTGGTTGGTTGGTTGTTTAACGCCACACTCAGCAATATTCCAGCTATACGACGGCGGTCTGTTAATAACCGTGTCTGGACCAGACAATCCAGTAATCAACCAAGTGTGAACAAGTCAGCGAGCCTGACCTCGACAAGCAGGGGTTGCTGAACATCAATTCTAACCCGTAGCTCACCTCGACATGCTGTCAGCAGCCAAAACAGAGGATAAGCTGTCACAATTGCTACTCAATAGTATGAGTACAAATCTCAAAGTTTTCATCAAAATGGGAGACAAGTACATGAAATATCAACTTCATCTCTGTAACCACACATGCCAAACTTCACTACATACTTTACAAACGGGGCTGATAAATTTACATAGAGGTTTTTCAATGCATTAGGCTAAATTTTAACATTTGAATTTGAATTCCAATAACTCAAAATAGAACGACTGTCTCAAAGCTAAGGCATCAATGACTATTACTATTATTATTAGTTTTAATCAATGTGCATCTACTTTCATTTACTCAAGAAGTGTCAACATTAACCAAAGTGTGACAATGCGACAATCTCCCTTCTATGATTCCATACTATCCCTCAGCCATGAGAGATCTCTGTAAAAAGGAGGAATTCTGACAATACAAATACAAAAGTAAAAGGTCAGAATATCCTGCGATGACATTCATCCTAAACACATGCAAAGGCTAGTCAAAACATACCATTTTCAAGATAATACTTTGAAACAATATTAAACCAATAAAGCCATATACGAACTGAGAGTGAGTGAGTGAGTGAGTGAATGAGTGAGTGAGGTTTGAGGGGGATAATATAAATATTACAAAATTGTACCAAAGTTTTACATTGGACATTTCTATTTGGCAAGAAGGTCTCTTTGTCCTCTGATAACCATACTGACTGGTCTCGACCTGTCCTTGCTTCAATCAGCACTGACAGCAGGCATATTGTTTTCACCACTACATCATTCCTAAAGCTATTTCAATACCTTTTCTGACCATGACTTTAATAAGACCTTGTAATGACAGCTAGCATCAAAGTTAGAGTTTGCTGTGAAATTTGAGGACTAATATGAAGGCTAATGACCAGTTCATGATTGTTGAAGACATAACGATCTGTAATCGGATACTATTCCATGAAGATAATGTTACAACAAAGCTTTCAGCTCAATTATGGAGATCACCATGATAAAAGTACATCAAACGTAGTGTTTCTGATTATTAACTCAGACATTGGCATCTAAATCTCTGCCTATAAAACAATGCCCAGAACACCACGAAATACAACTGATATTTATGTCAAGTGATATTTTATACATGTTTATGAATCAAATTTGTCATCTTGTGTTCATTCACCTGAAGCACTGATGTAAACTACTTGATAAGATGTACACCCATTTGTCTAGTCCCCCTTGTCTGCAGCTCTGCCAGCGATCACAGACATCACTGAGGCCACTGACATGAAATGGCAGTTTTCACAAATCTTGTACCCCGGAATCAGGATTGCACAAGTTGTTACTACACTCTGGGCACTCAGCGATATAAGCTTGATGAAGAAAGGTCACACTGAAGTTGAAATCCCAAAGTGAACCCTGTCATCATTTTAAAATAGATACTGTTAGAGTAAGAGAGGTGAAGGCCACTGTACCGGGAGACTTGGGGGTCCAGTGTGCCCATGTCCTCCGTGTTGACATAGGGCGGGTTGCTCACAATCACGTCAAACACACCCAGCTGACCTGTGTCTGAAAGATGGAGTGAGTGAGTGAGTGTGTGTGTGTGTGTGTGTGTGTGTGAGAGAGAGAGAGTGTGGGTGGGTAGGTGGGTGAGTGAGGGAGTGAGCAAGTGCGAGCATGTCTGTACACGCAACTTTTAGATGAAATTTCCCAAATGAGGTTCAATGAAGCTTTCAAACAACAACATCAACAGGAGCGCCACTCATTGCAACCCCAGATGTTGACATGAAGTGAGGGTAATTGTACTACACTTCATGACACAGAGAAAGGCAAAAAACGAAAAATTTGGTTTAAATAACTTCCGGCTTGCTTAAACTATATCTTAGGCAAAGGTCAAGGAGAGCAAGCAAGTTGGTATTTTACTGGCATTTAAATGTTTTGAAAAAATGAATAATGTTGTTTAATAAAGTCACAGACAGTTCAGTTTTGTGACAGGCAAGTCTTGGTGAGACGGAGCAAGGACTGACGGCATCACCAACAATCCTTTAGATGCATCCCACATTTCATAACCAGAAAATATTTTATGAATGCTTCAATCAGTTTAGTAATCTCTGTCTCTAACATGACCGTTGATATTTTGTTACAAGGTTCGTCAAATTATGTCAGCTTGTCGTGCAGAGTTAAGACCCTTTGGCATTCCAGTATCCCATGATTGTGGTTTGAATCCAAGATTCACAATAATGATGATCTCTGATGTTTCAGTTACATTGATGGGGAACAGGTCACTTACCGGTGCCGATATCTGTGTGTATCTGGGAACTTATACCTAATGACAATCTTTTGTAAAGGTAACTCGCAGCCTGATCACCTGCTTTGCTATAAAGGTGATATCCAGGTGTACCAGGTAACTCACCTGCACTGATATCCAGATGTACCAAATAACTCACTTGTACTGATATCCAGGTGTACCAGGTAACTCACCTGTACTGATATCCTCCTGTAACAGGTAACTCACCGTAACTCACCTGCACTGATATCCAGGTGTACCAGGTAACTCACCTGCACTGATATCCAGGTGTACCAGGTAACTCACCTGCACTGATATCCAGGTGTACCAAGTAACTCACCTGCACGGATATCCAGGTGTACTAAGTAACTCACCTGTACTGATATCCAGGTGTACCAGGTAACTCACCTGTACTGATATCCTCCTGTAACAGGTAACTCGCCTGCACTGATATCCAGGTGTAACAGGTAACTCACCTGTACTGATATCCAGGTGTACCAGGTAACTCACCTGTACTGATATCCTCCTGTACCAGGTAACTCACCTGCACTGATATCCAGGTGTACCAGGTAACTCACCTGCACTGATATCCAGGTGTACCAGGTAACTCACCTGCACTGATATCCAGGTGTACCAGGTAACTCACCTGTACTGATATCCAGGTGTACTAGGTAACTCACCTGCACTGATATCCAGGTGTATCACATTCAGCCTGTCTGTCAGCCCTAGGCAGGTGGCATTATGTGCAGTCAGTTCACAGGCGTGTGTTGTCTTGTCAATAGCTACTGCCTCCATCTGAAGTCACATGTGAAAACTTCTGCTTATCTACCCCAACACAAATGTGAAAAATATGTGAAAGAGATTAGAAATGTTGTCTGTTATTTCAGTAACAAAAGTCAGATATAACAGGAGTTGAAGCTATCTGTTGACATGGCATAATTAAAATTTAAACTTGTCTTTGATTTTGTGTTCATTTCAACTGGATCAACAGGGCTTTCAGAAATCTTTACCTACAAATACTCTGGGGACATGTGCAAGAATAGGTACGGACAGAGAAAGGATCATTACTGGAGGAAGATAATATTTTTTAACACAATCAGAAGATCCTGTCAAGATCTAAGGGAGGCAACTCTTCACTGTGATCTAGAAACACCTAGCATGCCAATAATCCAAATCAAATTTGTTTCAAGAAGGAAACATAATTCTACTTTCAAGAACATTGCATTTTAGAACCTGTGGAAATTCTTTCAGCAGAGCAAGAGTTATGGCCCCTGATCCACATCCAATCTCGAGCAACCTTATTTGTTGATGCTCCAAGCCCTTGAGATATGACTTTATAACACCAACCAGCTCCTAGATAATAATAAAGTTATGTTAGAAGTCGTTAACTGATCAAGGAGAATGATGGGAAAGTACATATACGCAAAGTGTTTTCAGAGCAGGCCAAGGTCACCTGCAGATTTACCCACACTAAAATGAACCTGAGGATAAGGTTTCAAATGTGAAATTGAGCAATTATATCTGTAGGTGACATGACAAATTAATGAACATGCCCCATGAAAAAAGTCAGATAACCTATTCGAGGTTTATATAAGCATTATTCTTCTGGCTGACACACCAAAATTCCATCTATATACATGCCCTGCAATTAAAACTACATTGGGGTGTAAAACAACACTGACTCACTATGATTGATTATGAAGATGGTATGTTTAGTTTATTTGATTTTCATGTGTCACAAGTGTCAAACTCAGCATCACTCGAGATATATGGCAGCAGTCTGAACAAAATTGAGTCTGGATCATACAATCCAGTGATCAACAGCATGAGCAGTGATCTCAGCAGTTGGGACACGATGACATGTGTCAACCAAGTCAGAGAGCCTGACCACCTGATCCCGTTAGTCGCCTTTCAAGACAAGCATGGGTTGCTGAAGACCAATTCTATCCTAAATTCTTTATGGGTTTTGATTTATACTGAAGCGTATCACAGATTCTGGTGCTACACTGTGTGTCAGCTCACCTCCGTCTCTGGCCTGGGAATAAATACCGGCTGTCTCATTTTCAGCACGATATCACAGAAGTCCCACTCTCCCAGGATGTACTGTACAGGCATTCTGCAACATGGTGATATAATACTTATGTAAGCATGGCTTGATCAACACAAGTCATCCACGTGTTACTGGCATGGCTTATTTGTGTTACATCACATTACTCTATGCCTTCAAGGAGTAATATCTTTATTTGCCTTTTTCCATAAGAATCTCATACCACACTGCCCCAACACTATCCCCACCCTATTTGAACACTTCCCATCTTCTTCTCATCCTAACACAATCACATCCAACCCTGCCCTAACACAATCCCAAACCCATCCATAACACAATCTTAGCCAACACCCAAACATCTTCCCACCCTTACACCATCCTCAATTAACATTTTCTGTAACCATGGTAACAGTAACATTTTTAAACCAAGCATAACCAAGAGTTCTTCCCCTCTTCATCTCCAGTGCAATCTCCCTTCAACCTACCACGACCCACACCACCTCCCCACCAATGTTTCTGACATCTCCCAGCTTGGTACTACGGACTTACCTCTGTTGTCTTAGTTTCACCATCTCCCACACACGCTCCACCTCCGGACCGGTCAGTTCACGGTCAGCAGACACACCATGGAGCTGCCAACACACACAATCAGGATTCACCAATTATACATGATAAACAATAAATATACACAAACACGTCAGCATGGCGTTAGAGATGTGGAACCTGGAAGTGAGTGAGTGAGGTTAAATGCTGCTCTTAGCAATATTCCAGCAATATCACGGTCGGGGACACCAGAAATGGGCTTCACACGTTGTACTCATGTGGGGGAATAGAACCTGGGTCTTTGGCCTGATGAGCAAACACTTTAACCACTAGGCTACCCTACCAGTATGACTGGAGTTTGGTGCTGCATAAATGTACTACTTCCGTTGTTGCTGTTGTTAGCATTATCAAAACAAAAAACAGTTAGTGAGTGAGTTTAGTTTTACGCTGCCCTCTGCAATATTCCAACTAAATGGCAGCGGTCTATAAATAATAGAGCCTGGACCAGACAATCCAATCATCAACAGCATGAGCAACGATCTACACAATTGGGATACGATGACATGTGTCAACCAAGTCAGTGATTCTAACCATCCGATCTCGTTAGCCACCTCTTACGACAAGCATGGTTTACTGAAGTTGAAGATCAATTCTAACCCGGATCTTCACGGGTACAAGAAACAGGTCTAACGATTGTACCTAGATACAGTGAATGTAAGCAATACCGTTGACATTCCTAGGACATGAGCAATGAAGAATTCCACAGACTTCCTTGGTTCCAGAACTCCCAGTTCCACCAGGACCTGCTGCATTTCTTCCAAGACATCTCCCACAGGACGATTACAGCGGTCACTTGTTGTACACAAGGACCTTTCCATGCTCATGTTCAAGTGGGAATTTCGGTATTCGGTTAACCTCTTGCTTCCAGTCAAAGAACATGTGTTTGCAGCAAAGGACCTTGACACTGAGTCTAGGTAATGATGTTTGCTTGCAGTGTGCTTGCTTGCAGAGATTGACTGACAGATACTTACACAGGGCATGTTAGAGTATCTACCATCATTGGATGCTTTAGTTGAAGACTTAGCTTTCTGTAGATGTTGTGGGCTTGGTGCACAAAGCCTTGCTACAAACTGAGATAATGAAAGAGTCGGCTTGCAGGTCTTGCTGAGAGGTGCACACACAGATGGTCTTGCACAGGCTTGAAAGAACATTATTCTTGCTCACTTAGGATTCTGTACTTTGGAAACAGCAGGTCATTATGACTCGGTCTGCAATGACAAATCACAGGAATGAGCACTTACCCAAGGTACACAGTCAATTCATATAATACAAATATTGAATACTGTTACCACTGTGCTATATCTAACACACTGACTACACCTACTATATCTGAGGATACTTCTAAAGTGTTTACTCAATCGCAAATGATCTGGCCACCTCACTGTTTAGCATGTTGAAAGCAATATTTCAGCTATGTGATGGCAGCCTGTATCTAATTATGTCTGGACCAGACAATCATGTGATTGCTTTCATGAGCAAAATTCCACGCCGCCATATTGCTACAATGTAGGTCAAAGTTACCTCCAGGTCCAAGTCTCACAATGTTAAGGTAAAATTAATTTACTTCCAACTGATACTGATTTTAGTATTACATAAGCCCATGCCAAATTGATTTCTGTGTGAATGCATGAAGGTGTTCAATGCCTTATATTGCAAAGCTGACTTGATGACTACAAAAAGAAATGTTACACGTTGACTACACTGCATACCTACCTACCATATTGGATTATTTCACGTGATGATCATAAAATTAACTAACAGATGTTCGGCCTATCCGGTGGGATCGAACGACGAACGCGAACGCAAAAGCGAAAAATGTCTTTTCCACAAATTCCAGTGTGACACGAGAGAGGCTGAAACTCTAAACCCCATAAACAAAACATGTACACCCTTATTAGTATGTAATTTTTGTGAGACATACATTTGCCTCACATATAAGGAATTTTACCATTTGATGGCGATTCATTCCATCCATTCCAAGACTGACTGATGAAATTGACTGAAGCGGCAGGAAAATGGCGGAAGCCTTGGTTAATGCTGTCAAGAAAGTGGTTCGCACAAATTTCGGGCGCGACGGTGGACGGTTTCCAGTGTAATGCATTCTTGTCAAGGAAATTAGCACTGTCATACCCTAATTTTCCCTCAACAGTTGCTATAAAACAGATGCTGAAAAGAACATGATTTACACTGCTATGCTCCACGTGATAGTTGGGCGCTGACATTTTGGATGAAGCATTATGGGATTGTATTTTGACAGCTGCTCAACTTCCGGTGAATACTTCCTGTTTAGAAGGCTGTCTGCTATTTTCTCCGCACACCTATCGCCAGTATCGGTATGGTGTTTTTTTATCTGGTGAACAGAACACTGAATACCTTATTTTAAATTCGTACTCACTGGGATCGTTTCCATTCGTACCCCGAGACACTGACGCCTGATAAACGTGTTAAAGATAAGATGGACACAAAACACTCGCGATCGAAAGACAACATAAGTCGATAGTATCCCCTTCAAATATTCATGTCATAGTCGCGTTTCATTTTGAAAATGGATATTTTAGTGATTTTCTTTGAGTAATAATCTTCGTGATTAAATTCGCAAGTAGTCTGATCATTGACCATAAAATATTAGATATTGTTCGTTCTATCTCAGTTCAGATGAGGTAAAAATGTCAAAATTTACTGGGCAAGATTGATTTTGTGTCATATATTTTTGCGTAGCTTACACAAGAACAAGTGAAAAAAGTGACTTTTCAACTATCCTCATGCAATAGAGGTGCCACAGGATATGATAGTTGTTACAGTGTACAGCCTATAGGGATATTGATATTAATAATGATTGTTTAATATTTCTAGGAAACGTAGTGCTTTGATAAGAAAGAAATGCCAGCAGCAACAGACTAAAGGATAACCGATTTGGTCAGTATGATGGCAGCAATCAAGTCATTCCAGCAGCTTCGTTCCGACCTGATTGTAGCCTTTCTGTCTAACTGGTGAATCCTGAACAAACTTTTTGCCATCTTATCTCCACATAATGGTATCAACAGTCAACACAACAATTGATGTCACCACTCTCCAGTCTGATGCAAAAACAGAGAAGTCCTCAGGACAAGTCCTTGCCTATATACTTATCCCCATTGGATCTGTGATTTTTATTGGTCTTGTCATCATTGTGGTAATGTGAACTATTATTTCACTACTGTTTGTTAAATCATGCACATATGATGAATGCCCTAGTACCAGTATCTGTCAGTATTGTACATGTGTGTAACAACACTATATTTCAATATCGATTTTGTATGTGTTTTTCATATCTTTGCTCAGCTTGATGAGTGGCTGGTCATGAAAACATGAAGATATGGTAGCTATGCAACGGATAGCTACTCTGTTGTTTATGAAGGTTAACAGTTTGATTGGTTGTTCAACTACATGTTTATTTCATATGCTGTGGTTTTTGTATTAACATTGAGAGCTTTAAGGCTGCACTACTGCCCACACATGATTAATTATTGTACTACAGGCCTGTGGCCCAGCTTTCAGTAGGAAATAAAGATTGATTGATTGAGAGCTTAAAGGATGGAAATAATGTGCCAAATCAACTGTTTTACATAAAGCTCATGTCTGAAAAGACCTTGTGACTAGTTGGATTTGACCAAAGGTGTCTGTGTACCCTTTGAACATGATTGGGTTAAACTGTACAGACTCTCTGCCGGGATCATTTCTTGATTAAGTGGTCATATTGTGCACCATAATTTGTAATAATGATCTGGAAAAATCAATTTGTCAAGAGATTACTGTTTAATTGAACCGTTTGTATGATTTTTTAAAAAATTTATAGATTGCATTTGGCATGTATGGTGGGAAGAAATATGTGTAACATCAATGAAAAATGGCTTGGTAGATCCATGATTGAAGGAATTAAAAATAATGGTGTACCTGTTGTCAGAAATTGATAACATTTCATGTATTCTACTTGTTTTACAGATTGTGTTGGTGCTTAAGAAAAATAGGTAGGTGCTTTATTGTTTTAAAAGAATGTAATCTCTTTCAGTGGATTATATATATCGGCAGTATTTAAAAAATTGGAATTTTACTTTTTTCGAACTTTCCCGCAAAAATTACAGTCGACGGATCCATAAACCAAATAATGAAAAAATTGTGGCCTTAGGAATGAAAGTCAGTATCAGTGGTACTAAAAGCACATGTCGTGATGAAACCATTGTTTGTTTTAGTTGAAGCATGATCGATTTGTGAAAACATTATATGATTGGTTAGTGAAAGAAATATGATTGGTTAAGGAAAAGCTGATTGATTACTGAAAGCTAGTTACAACCTGATTTACAACCTAAAGTAATTTATGGGTTGACAACACCAACCAAATCGGTCCTGGTAAGCGCCATTAGCAGTGTTCAAGGTAAAAGTGGGTCCTCTTAGGTATCAGAAGTTTGAGACCAATAAATCTTTGAATAAATATGTTAATACAACTGTTACCACTAAGGTTATAACAGGAACTTTTGACTTTGATGCTTAATTTGAAACACTGACCTGTGAGGGTGTATGTTGTGCAGACTGGACCGTCTCCGTCACCACCTGATGCCTCTATACAGCTTCGACCCGGGGGATGAGAACGGGGACTGGGAGTCGGAGCTGCTGGAGGAAGAGAGGGAGCAGCAGATGAGGCTCAGGATGGAGGTGAGCGATGAAACACAGGGAAATAAACAGGTATTGGTAGAATGTAGATACCGCCCTACACTGAAGCATATGTGGTGTCTCCTTAGACTCTAATTGTTTGAAACCTGTGAAGATCCGGGTTAGAATTGATCTTCAGTAACCCATGCTTATTTAGAGGCGACTAACAGGATCGGGTGTCAGACTCGCTGACTTGGTTGACACATCATATCCCAATTGCGTAGATCGATGCTCATGATGTTGATCACTGGATTGTCTGTTCCAGACTCGATTATTTAGTCGCCATATAGCTGGAATATTGCTGAGTGCGGTGTAAAACTCACTCACTCACTCACTCACAATTGTTTGAAATATACCTCTAAGTCATCCAGCAGTGAATGGGTACCCGGTGAGATGAGATGGTAATATGACTCTCAACCATGCTGTATGTGTAGCTTGGGTTGTATACTCCCCAGGCAGCTGAGCATGAAAATTGACTGCACATTGATTCCATTGACCAGGGTAATTACAAAACACTTTTAAACTACAGATATAATAGATCCAGGTACATTGGAGGATCGAGCACCTGGTGATATGACGACATTGCATTGCAGAGCCCTAGTCCGCCAGACTCCCCCAAGATACTTCTGACGTCTATGCATTCCGAGTTGTGATGTATGAACAGCATTCCAGAGAAGACTTGTAAAGTATACAACTTTCCACAAGACTAGTCGTATACACAACATTCTACAGAAGACTGGAGATGTATACACGCTCTACAAAAAACCCAGGGTTAGTTTCAACTCCTGAAACTCGGTGCACCATGTACAACCTGATTTAGTGATAATAGGATGGCTACATAACTGAAGCTCTCCACACAGATATTGCGGAGCCAACCCCCTGAACACCCCCTTTGAAAATTCCTGGATCCACCTATGTGATGTATGCAGTCTGAATACCAATGTGTCCATTTCATTTTTAGTTTCTAGTGAAGTTTTACTTACCATTAGATAACGTAAATGTAGAAATCTCTTCATGAAATAGTGCAGCATAGATACAACTATTGTGTGGTACTTCCTTACCCCAGAATGTTTTTGAAGAGATGATAACCATCAGGTATAGTTTGGTATTTAAATTACCCTGCCCCAAAGTTATATAATATCCAAAGTATAAAATACCCACAATATACGAGTGAAGTCTTCATTACTTAGCATTTGGAACTGCCTGTTTATGTTCATTTTGGACATTAAGAGACCAGTAATGAGAATTTTGAAACTTGGACATTACTTGTCTGAAAGTAAAGAAAGTTTGCTTGAATTCCTGCCCCACAGTTTATATAACAATTTTGTTGTATATTTTCATACTATATATGGACATGAGAATGTTAATCCATACATTATAGATTTTTGTGTACTATCTATAAGCAGCAATGTCACTACTGTTACCAGTGACAGTACATATTATGTACCAAGTGTCTCCTCAGCTGTTGTGTCAGATACAGTGTTTGCCCTTAATCCTGAAAAGCTGTCAGGTCCTAAGGACCCAATACCATAAAAAGTTGTGGGTACTGATCAGAATTTGGTTTTCAGTCGGCTTCGGGCCTAAGGACCGACATTAATTTCGGACGCTGGTCAGATATTGAATAAGACAAACTATGTATCTGGTTCCAGCGAACTGACACAGGTGTGTTGGACTGTTTGTATAGATGACCAGTAGTGCTGGGAATTGGTTTAAATCTCATAATTGATGATTGGTTCATTACAACTGATCAATCATCGAAAATAATTGATTAGCGTCATATATTAAATTGTTCTGGTTATGTTTGTTAATGCACAAAAAATAAAGAAAAAAACATGTAGTTCTTTCGTTTTTTTGCAAATTGCACAAAATGCATTTGCAAATTTCACATCTTTAAAGCTTGTAGTGCTAATGAAATGTAAAAGACAAAACCAACCTTGTGAAAAATATCGTTATTGCAAACAAGTGTTCCAAAATTGATTGTGTTCGATTATGAGAAAACATGATCGATTGATTGGTCGTTTTGTCATTGCGACCAATCTTCGATTATTTCAATTAATCGGACCACCACTAATGACCAGTGATAATACCTAGAATTAGAAACAATTTGCTTTGAAGTATGCTTGAAGTGAACGTAGATATCAGTATTATATCTGTATTAACTCCTTCATCAGACACCTTAAATATCAGCTGTTGATGCATGAATGACTTACCGGTAAGTATTATGTACACCCCACCATCTCAAAATCCTGGATCCTACTCTGCTGTGTCAGAACAGTTTTTGATTCGTTCTATAATCATGATACATTACCGACCATGTCTTATTGTAGCAGTGGACAAATACAGCTTTATTTCAGGATTTACTCACAAGAACAGTTTTTTGGAAAGCCTGTTAAAAATGTGATGTGAAAAATGTAATTGTTGAGCCACTCCTTCAGAGAAAGAATCTGTATATCCTGAAGCAGTGTCAGAAGAAACTGATACTTCTAACTTAAGTCATCCTGGGGAACAAATATCTGTTTGAAGACAGAGTAATGTCCCTTCGTATGGACGGGTGGTCAGAGAGTCATCATATGAAGTGCAGATTTACAGTTAAGAAGGTCCGGACAAACAGGGTTTCAATGTAATTCATCACAGTTTCAAAACAATACTCATTTTATTTAATGTTGGGCAGAAAAATCAAACCAAGGTACTGAGGACTGAGATGAACAAACACAAGAATGCTGTCATATTGATTCAAATCTCATTTGATGTTTCTGGGTATGGAATTCAGCACAAAACCACATGTTTCCGATTTCGAGTCCTCACTGATAAGGTGTTTTCATGGTGTTTCAGCATACTGATAAGTGACAGATAGAGTGTTCACTTTACTGAACAGGGTTCATTAACAAAGAGTCACATTTGTCATTGTTGATATGTTTTGTTCCGTGTGATTGAATCTCAGGCTAAGTGCAATACTTTCAATGTTATCCTTAACTGCAATATTACATGTTCAGTACCAGTGATTGTCATAAGACACCTTGCTTACTGTGAATCCTCCGAATAAGCAGTGTGTCTTTATTTATTGACGACGTTTTCTTGGACAAAGTGTTTGTTCAAATTTTAACAGAAAAAACATTGAAATTTTTTTTGTTTCCAATGTCTTTTCAAGATGTTTCTCAAGATTATGGATAAAAATTAAACCCTTTTAAACCAATGAGCATGCCCTAACCCACCTCACTTACTTATTGTTTATACCAGGTCATATTTTATACAACATAGCATGTATTAATGTACTGCTTTTTTTCTGGACTAACATTTAGTTCCAGAAATAAAGTTATTTAAAGTCTCATTTAAAAGTATTTATCTACAAACTAAGGAGCAATATGAATATACACATTATTGTTATCTTTACCACAAACCGTCTACAGTTATATATTTCAATTACTCAGAGTTTAATACATAGTAACATGCATGTCAAGATTTACTGCATGAAGTTGTTACTGATCATGGCTGTCGGTGACTAGAATATAGGGATTTACCACACGTAATAGTATTAACTTAATCAGATTATAATGATCCTGTGTTAATGTGAATTGACGAGATTAGACTCGGCATCTGTTCATCACAAACATTGTATTTGCTGATATCCTGAAGATGTTTTTGCAATATATGCTTTATCCTGGGACCATCCTCAGTTGTGCAGGGCATTTTATCTCCATTCAAATCGAGTAAATACCTTGGACCTTACATCTCATTTTGACTTCCATTGCATTTCCTTCATTCATTCCCAGATTTTTATAAACCAAGACAAATAAAAAATTTATTATTGAGACTTTAGTGGTTGCTTGTATCATGTCATACTTGTTTATGTTATCTCAGAGTTGTACGCTAGTTTACCATCAGCCCAAGAACAAGGGGGGACTACTCTCTTTGGTCTGAGCCCATTCCAAGTGTAGGTCTGAAGGTTGTGATTAATCCTGATTGAAATGGAATAATGCTTGTGTGTGTTTCCTGGTAGGTTGATAAACATCATAACATGATAGGGAGGTGAGGGAACTTCATGCATCAAATGGGTGTACTGCCAAGTTTAGAAGCTTAGGAACTGTTCATAATTTATGGCTAGGGGTGTGAGTGTGTGTGTGTGTTGGTGTGTGTGTGTGTGTGTGTGTGTGTGTGTGTGTTGATGTAATGATGATTTTTATGAAGAAGCATGTACAATGTGAATGATCCCCCCCTAAAATTTATGTACAAAGTAAGTGATCCCCTCTGCGTGGGATTTTAATATATTTATGTACAAAACGTGTGTACAAAATTGATGACCCCCCACCTCCCCAAAACAAAATGGGTGACACCCCCCAACCCCCCTCTTAAAATCATCATCACCCCAACTAGCCATAAATTATGAACAGTCCCTTATCAAGACATTACCAAGTTATCTTCATGTTAATACTTACGGTACATACAGGTGTTCACCAGATGAAAGACTTAAACTCTTTCAGAAAAAACATTTCTCAGGCCACATTTACTAATCATCTGTTCTTCATTAAAAATGACTTGTTTGTTTAGTTGTTTTGTCTGAAGTGAAAATTAATTTTTTTTCAGAAAGTTTAATATTCAAATTATTAAATATAACATGCACCCACTCTAGGATCTGCTGTACTCTATGGTATGAATCAAATGTCACCATTTACTGCCCAGGATTGTGTTTCTACCCAAACTTTTCTCATGTTTCAGAAAGAGATTTGTCAGACTGCTTTGCTCAAATTCAGTTTGCTCAATACGAAGACACAAATTATGATTCCTTTTGTTTTGTGAATAATATTTACAATTTTTAATCAAACAAATATACTTTTTGTTATTCCTTGTTTTATGGTCTGTGATAATATTTATTGTTTACAGTCATGTTGATTTTGTTCATGCTTAAGAATCAAATATGTATGGTTAATCATTATTACATATTCTCAACAAGTTTTGTTGTACAAATTATTGATGTACTAAACACCTTATTTTTAAGGTAATCTAGTCTCTGTTTGCATTTTACTTAATGTACGTCTGATTATATTTGTACCCTTTGTTTTGTTGCTGTATGTTATGAAGTGTATATACATAAATATAAATACAAAACTCTTGCATGACACCGAGTATGAATGGTTAATACCAAATAATGCCCCTATTTATTTTCATCGTTTGAGTCAATATTTATATCATTGGCATGTTTTGTGAAAATTAAACTATTTTTGAATTTCATAGATATTTTTGTCATTTATCATGATGAACGAACGCTTTAACCACTAGGCTACCCCACAGATATTGGTGAGGTCTAAATGATCATGATACCTGTTAGATGAGGGAAAGTTTTCTGGCTTCAGGGAAGGGTGGGATAACGGGCTTATAACTCTCTCAGTAAGGCATTGGCTTTCTGTTGTAAAGTTTGTAAACTGCATACAGGGATATTGATGCTATGATCTGGACGTGATGTCAAGCTGGAGGAGCTTTAGCTATAGCTGGAAATACAGGAGCACTTTGTACTGTATTAGGGATGTATACTTTCTGTTTATATGGAGGGAATAATTTCCAGGTGTCTTTCATGTATAGTCTGTTTGCAGTGAAAACGTACCGATGAATTTCACTTTACACAAGAAAGTATATCAAATAAAGTGAAATTAAGATTGCGAATCCTAATAATTTTACCTTGCCAATTAAAATCTCAGAATTTTATTCAACTTAGGGTAAAAGTTGTTTAACAAACGATCATTGTTTCAAATCGCTATTATTGGTTTGTATTACAAGGGGGTACGCGCAGTGGTTGGAACAGTGAAACAAATGCACGTGCGGGGCGTAATGAGCGTTAACTTAGACCAACCTACTTGTTCTCAGTGTTTCATTTAATGTGCATACCCCCTTGTGATACAAACCAATAATAGCAATTTGAAACTTTGATCGTTTGTTAAACAACTTTTATTCTAAGTTGAATAAACTTCTGAGATTTAAATGTTCATTTGGCAAGGTAAAATTATGAGGATT